AACTAAATTATTTCCTAAAGGAAAATGATAACGATGCAACCTCGAAACAAAATATTTGGGATACATTGAAGGCAGTCATAAGAGGAATAACAATCTCTTATAATGCCATGAGAAATAAAAGAAAATATGCTCAACAAAATAAATTACAACAACAAATTAAGGAATTAGAAATCCAATTATATAAAAACCCCTAAAAACCAAAGAATACAAAATCAGTTAATAACAACTAAACATAAATTGAACTTATTGGAACAAGAAAAAATGGAAATAAATTTGAAAACGACTAAACAAATTTATTTTGAATATGCAAACAAACCAGGAAGATGGTTATCTCATAAACTTAAAAAAGGGAAAGAAAAGAGATTGATATACCAATTAATAGTCGAGAAGGGCGACTTACAACATGAGATAGAAAAGAAAAAAGACATCATTCACAAATATTTTGAAAAGTTATATACAAAGGAAGAAGTTAATGAGGATAAAATAGGAACTTACTTAGAGGAAATGAATGACAAAGTAATTGGAGAGGAATGGATAGAATTATTAAATAAAGATATTACATGGTCTGAATTGAAATCAGCAATAGAGAATGAAAGTAATAATAAAACCCCAGGGCCAGATGGGATTCCGGCAGAATTATATAAAGCAATAATGGAATTAATTGGACCACTGATGATGGAAGTGTTCAACAAGGTACTACTAGCAGCTAAGATGCCAGACTCGTGGAAGGGAGCATTGATTTCGCTGATCCCAAAGGAGGAAGCTGACCACAGATATATTAACAACTACAGACCAATTTCACTCCTAAATACTGATTATAAAACACTCTCCTCCATTATAGCCACTAGACTAAAACAAGTTTTAAATCCACACATACATGAAGACCAAAATGGATTCCTCCTGATTAGACAAATAAAGAATAATTTAAGAACAGTAATAGATGTCTTAGAATTTTATGAAGCTCACCCTGAGAAACAATTCACACTTATGTTTTTAGATGCAGAAAAAGCATTCGATAACCTAAATTGGCAGTTCTTAATTCAAAAAATTTATAATATGAATCTAGGCACTTAATTTGAAAATATCATAACAACAATTTACGACATACAGCAGGCTAACATCTTAACAAATGGGGAACACATAGGTCCAATAAAAATAGAAAAAGGTGTTAGACAGGGCTGCCCTCTCTCACCTCTTCTCTTTATATTCGCTCTAGAAACACTTTTAACACATATCAGGCAAAATCCCGAAATTAAAGGATTGAAAATTAAAGCAGAAGAGTACAAATTACATGCGTTTGCTGATGATATGGTCTTCTTTTTGGAGGAACCAATAGAAAAAGGATACAAATTGATAAAAGAATTAGAACAATTCGGCGCAGTAGCAGGACTTAAAATCAATAGGAAAAAAAACAAAATTAATGACCAAATCTTAACAGAAGACCTGAAAAAAGAATTAGAGGTAAGTATGGGAATACAGGTAACAAAGAAAGTCAAATATTTAGGAATATGGCTAACACCACAATGTAAAACACTCAAAGAGAATAACTATGACAAATCGTTGCAACAAGTGAAGAAAGATTTAGAATCTTGGAGCAGGTTGCAACTTTCACTATCGGGCAGGATTGCTTCTATCAAAATGAATATTTTGCCAAAATTCTTATACCTATTTCAGACAATTCCAATTAAATTGCATAAAAGTTTTTTCAAAGAACTAAATAAGATAACACTCAAATTAATTTGGCAAGGAAAGAAAGCTAGAATTAATGTAAAGGCATTACAGGATCTGAAGAGCAGAGGGGGATTAGCACTTCCAAACTGGGAACTATATTATACGGCAGCTACTTTATTATGGTTAAAAGATTGGGTGAACTTACTTAACAAAAGAACACTATTATTAGAAAGTCACGATTTGCAGAGAGGTTGGCACGCCTTCTTGTGGGAGGTGGGGAAACCCAATCTGTCATATTTTCATAGACACCTAATTAGAGATTCACTACTAACCAATTGGAAAAAAGTACAGAAAAAACACTTCTTAAAAGTACCGATTTGGCTATTGACAATGGAGGCAATGGTTCATCCCAACAATTTGGACATCACAAAAATGATTAAATACAAAGACTTATTAGATTCACAAGGAAAACTGAAAACACGACAAGAATTACAAGAGCAAGGATTTAAAATTGACCAGTGGGTATACCTCCAAATCCATAGTAGATATAAACAAGATAACAAAGATTTCGGAATTTATAACAAACTCCAGCACTTAGATAAAATTTTATTAGGATCAAACAAAAAAAAATATAACTAAATTTTACAAATACTTACTAGAAGTGGAATTAGAACAAGAGATAGTCAAAGGAAATATGATAGCTTGGAGCAGGAACATTGGACGGAGTATTACATTAACAGAATGGGAAAGGATTTGGAACAGAAACAACAAGATCACAAAATCGGCAGCTTATAAAGAAAATGCATACAAAATGTTTTACAGATGGCACCTTCCCCCTTCGAGGTTGGTGAAGATGCACCCCGACACGAGTCCAAAGTGTGGGAAATGTAAAAGTATAGACGGAACCTTTTTCCACATGTGGTGGTCATGTAAAGAAATCCAGAAATACTGGCAAAGAATTAGAAAATGGCTAGAGGAGATAACCAAAGAACAAACTGAATATAAACCAGAGTCCTTCCTATTAAGGATTTTTGACAAACAATTACCAAAAAAGATGAAGTATATAATAATATATATCTTAACAGCGGCCAGGCTAGCGTTTGCTCAGTGCTGGAAACTATGTCACATACCTACAGAACAGATGATCATCCAGAAAATTTCAAATTGTGCAGAAATGGACAAACTAACCCTAGCCCTAAAAAACAAAGAGTCTTCAATATATTACAACAACTGGAATTCCTGGTACAAGTGGTTAGACCAAAGATAGATCGTGTATTATAAGGTATAAAAAAAAGAATGAGATAAACTATTTGAGTGCAATCCAAATATAGATACGGATAAGATGTGCGTATATGATACAATTTAAGAAGAAAAGATGTTACAAACTGTCAAAAAGGAAAATGTTTTTAAATGTTCACCCTCCCTTCTATCTTTTCCTTTCTTTTCGTGTTTCTTTCTTTCTCTCTTTCTTGCTTTTTTCTGGTTTTGTTATTTGTGTATATGTTGTAGATTTGTTTTTTTTTAATTGTAAAATTAATAAAATTTGTTTAAAAAAAAGAAAAGAAAATTACAGACCAATCTCTTTATGCTGCGTCACCTGTAAAGTCATGGAATCAATTATTAACCAATCCATTATCCTCCACTTAGAGACAAACAACCTACTCTCTATAATAAACAATTTGGTTTCCTGTAATCTGCAACTCTTACACTGCAAAAACATATGGACTACACAACTCGATCAGGGCAAAGCAATAGACGCAATCTACATAGACTTTTGTAAAGTCTTTGATTCAGTGGTACACGACAAACTATTACTAAAACTAAAATCTTATGGTATCTCTGGACAACTGCATAACTGGATAGAAGCATTCCTGTCAAACAGACAACAAATGGTCAAAATTGGGAGTGTCCTATCAAATTCTGTACCTGTCAACAGTGGTGTCCCCCAAGGCAGTATTCTAGGACCAACTCTCTTCATACTCTACTTAAATGACCTCTGTGATCATATTAAGAGCAACTGTGTTCTCTTCACTGATGATGTAAAGCTATTCAACATCACAGACAATACTGCTACCCTTCAAAAAGACCCCAACTATGTATCAGAAGGGTCAAACAAATGGCAACTTCAAATTTCACAAATAAATGCTCTGTCTTACATATTGGCCAAAAAAATAATCAGAAAATAAAATACAAGCTGAATAGTCAAGATCTTGTTGATGATCGAAACTCTGTCAAGGACCTTGGACCTCTAGTGATCTAAGTGCTAGAGCCCACTGTAACTACATAGTCAAAAAGGCGTTAAGAGTTGTTAACCTAATCCTATGTAGCTTTTTCTCTGGTAATATACCACTAACTAGAGCATACAAAACATTTGCTAGACCAATACTTGAATACACCTCATCAGTCTGGAACCCACATTACGTATCTGATATTAACACAGTTGAGAAAGTCCAAAAATATTTCAAAAGAAGAGTTCTCCACTCCTCTACTTGCTGCAGAATATCTTATGCTACCAGACTTGAAATTCTAGACCTAGAAAATGTAGAACTATGCCGCCTTCAGTCTGATCTAAGTACGGTATATAAAATCATACATTGCAATGACCTACCTGTCAATGAATACTTCAGCTTCAACCATAACAATACAAGAGCACACAAGGTATACAAACTCAAGGTAAATTGCACCAAACTTGATTGCAGGAAATAAGACTTCAGCAAAAGAGTGGTCAATGTCTGGAATACTCTACCTGACTCTGTGGTTTCTTCCCCTAACCCCACAAACTTTAACCTTAGACTGTCTACTATTGACCTCACCCCTTTCCTAAGAGGTCTGTAGAGGGCATGCATAAGTGCACCAACATGCCTACTGTCCCTGTCCTATTGTTTCTTTTTATTTTTCTAATATGTATCCATTTAATGTATTCATAACTATGTTTATACTTATAACTATTATCTTGTAAGCGATTGACAAATCAAATAAATAAATAAAAATAAATAAAACTAGTAATGAAGTCTTCAGGAACAAAAGAGCAAAAATGAAGGAACAAAAAAAGGATAGACAAATGGTTTTTACTGCATTAAATCTTATGTTATTGCCATGAACCCCCCAAATAATCAAAGGATGTAGCATTTGCAATTATATTGTGTACAATTATTGATGAGGATAAGAATTATTACACTATTACACAATTATTTACACTTTCCAGTTAATTTTAGATATTATAGTTATGTCAGGATTTCAACAGACTTTCCAAAATAGCATTTAATAATCAGAATTTCCTCCGCATAGAAAATGATATTAAAAATGCAATAATCAAAATGAGGCAAATATTTCTACCAAACAAATTTATTTATATGTAAAACCCAACATATAGTTTAAAATACTTTTCAAGAAGCTAAAACATTGCTATACAATATATTCCTTAACCACCTGTCATGGGAAGCAGGCTTTATACAAATTGTTCATACAGTGAAAGTAAAAGTCATATATTTACATGGAAAAAAAAATCTGTAAGATGCTGCAATTGAGATTTAAACATGTAGCTCTCCTATCTTAATTTCTTAATGTTTGGTTTGACAATACTGAGGGATTTGAAATATTGTGAATAAGTAAATTCTTTTGAAAATTATTCTTTTTAATCATGTGATAGCAAACTCTAGAGTTAACACATTGGTTCAATCTAACATATACAAAAGAAAAAAAGAACATCCTATTATGTGCCACATGTTTGGGCAACTCAATATATAAGGGGAATATATGACTCTGACAGCATACTGGTTTTAATGCCAATTGATAAAATGGATCTAGAGCCAATACTGTTATATCTTCACTGAAAGGCAGACACAATATTTAAAGCAGCGGTCCCCAACCTTTCTGGCTTTGAGGACAGGCAGTGGTGACAATGTTTCTCTGCAAGCTGCGCAGCAAGCGCACTTGTGTGCAGGTCCACCACTTGTACATGTGGAGCTGGTCTTGCCTGCACACTGCTTGTGAAGCCCAGTTACAAACAGGCTGGGGGCCGGGGGTTGTAGATCCTGATTTAAAGAACCGGTGTATTTATGTTTGCTTATTACCATTGATATTTTCAAAAATTCTTGCAAATGACAGAGAATCTCTATTCTCTATATATGATACTATGCCTGGAATTATAGCAAGCTTTTCATGAAGTTTTGCTTTTGAAAATCCTATGCTGCTGTTATTTAGAACTTTGCATTTCAATTAAAAATACTATAGAAATTGAACACATGACAACCTGACCAATAAAAAATTGCAAGTCTGTAATATGGTGCTATATAAGGAATATCAGTTAAATAATTCTTACTATTTCATAGATTTTGTGTGCAATTCAATTAACCAACTGTAAGGACACAATAATGTAACTTGCTCTAAATTTGAAAAACAAGAAAGCAAGAATGCAATACAAAGAAAGTACAGTTAGTGTTATCTCCATTGTATCTTAGAGCAGCATTATCCAAGCTGGCACTGCCAGAAGTGTAAGGCTAAGCTATCAGATTTCTTAATTAGCTGACTGGAAATGTAAGGATTTATATTTTGTAGGATACCAGATTAAATGAAAGCTGCCTCATATTTCATGAATAAACAGAATCCAAGAATAGATAGACTAACCAGATAATACCTTGTAAAAAAAAACAATTTATTTAGAATGCATAGTCCTAAGGCCACAGTTTAATCTATCAGTACAGATATGGCCATATACTGCCATTGCCTAATCCAGATGCATATAGAGTGCTGAGCTGTGCAATTTTTCAAAATACTGGGCAAATGTTAGTGTTAAAATATAAAAGACAGGAAGTATTGATTGGTAAACAGATGCATATGTAATATTGGAAGTCTATGGAGTCTCAGTTCATTTCCTATGACAAAATATAACAGTGCAAACAAGGGTGCTTTTCCTAGATGCTTTCAATGTTATTCCGCTAACATGAAAGGAGGTAATGAGCTGGCCAAACTCTTGGGAACTAACACAACTCTTTAAAATACTGTACTAGTGACTCCTGTTATATGATCAAGAACATTACATTTCTAGAGTGGCTTATACATCAAAGAGGACTCATATTATCTCAGGATATGTTAAAAAAATATACTCATTGAAGCAAACGGACATGATGCTCACTATTAGAAGTCTCTCCTTTGTAGTTTGTATATACATACAAAATTAAACAGACCAGAAGTATTTAAATTCTGTGTTCAAGAGTTTCTAAAACCATCCCTTTCTGCTTCTTATCAAATGATAATCTTTACTGTGTAACTGTTACACAGAAAACAGACATAAAATTCAACACAGATACTCTTAAAAAATTCAGTTTTATAATACGAAGAGAAAGTCAAATTACCTTATAGGTATAACACACACATATATATCAAAATACTTCACCCTTTTGGATGAGTGCCAAAGTTGGTGCTATCTGTAAATTTTTATCAGATTGGGTGTTTTTGTTTTTCTTAAAAAGAAATGTGTCAGCACCTAAAAGAACTAGAGAAATATCAGGCACTAAATTGCTTCCAATAATCGGTTAATGAAAATCTCTACCCAATATGAATAATAAAAACCAAGCTCTAAATATTTAAAAAGGATTAAAATTAAGCACCAAATAGAAATATAAAAAGTGGTGCAATGAAGATCTATTTCTGCTAAAAAGGTAATGTTCATCCTCTGCCTAAAGGAATGCAATCTTGTGAACAAGTGACAGATTTATAACCAAACAGGGTTTTTTTGTGGCAGAGGCTCTTGGTAGACAGGTTTCCAATATAGATAGAAGTGTTTTTTCTCTCTCTCCGTGTATCTCTCTCTCTCTCTCTCATACACATACACACACACACCTCATTAGCTGTCCAAATCAGGTTTGATTTACTTGAACCCATGCTCACATTTTTATTTTTTAAAAAACATAAATTAAATGTATCACATACACACAATTTACAAATATTCTCAATTCCTTATCAGGGCAACATCCATGAGATCATCATCTTCCTCCCCAATTAAGAAATCAGGGCTGGGCCTAGATGGTCTATCTGATGTAAGGATGGCACTGCTTGTCATAGACAGGGACTGTTCTGAAGAGATGGGAGATTTAGACCAGCTTTCTGGCTTTATGTTGTGAGATTTCTTTTTGTCTCTCTCTTTGTCACGATCCCTGTCACGGTCTTTATCTTTCAGTTTCTTCTTTTCCTTTTTGTGTTTTTTATGCTTTTCTGAGCTATATTCTGGAAGAGGCCTAACTCCATCATCAGAGCTGGGGCTATTCTGATAGGATTTTTCTGCTATAGATGATCCAGATTCACTCTCACTGTCAATATTTTGGGGTGTATATGCAGGTGACTTACTGTGGCTAGGAGAACAGCGCTCATGTTTTGGAGTTGATCCACTTATCAGGGGTGATCCATAATTTTTGGAAGATGACATCTGAGGCCTTAAGCCATCCCCACTTCCTTCCCCAGGTTTCTGCAAGGTAACTTTGGCTTTAATACTAGGAGAACCGCCATCATGTTTACTGATGATGATTTTGGCCACTCCAGTGCTTCCAACACTCTTTGAATCAGATGCTTTCTTGGAAGATTCAGTGGAACCTCCTGAAGCAGGGACTTTGGATTTCTCCTTGTCACTTCGTTCTCGTTTCCCCTGCAATTCATTTCCTGACAGATTGTGCTTAGAGGACATGGAGTGGCCTGATGAACTGGAATTCTGGACCATCTGTCCATCCACTGAATCTTCCCCTGTGGGGCCACTAGTGACAACCCCATGTTTGAGTTTGTCAATGACAGCAGTCAGAGATGGCTTTTTGTTTCGGCTTGGAGACTTGCCTTTGGAACTCCCATGTTGATTCTGAGATGAAGACATGGAAGAGCTGCCAGATGAAAAGGAAGATGAAGATCCCATTGAAGAATTTGAAGGAGGAGGCTTCTGGGATGTGGAACTGGAAGATCCCATCCCTGAAGATGACTTCATGCTTGAACTTGATCCTGTCCCAGGAATGTGTGTACCTCCAGAACCGGAACTAATAGGGGACTTTGCTTTAGATGACGGGGGAGTACCTGGAACAGGTTTCATCGGAGAGGCCAGCTTGTCAGAACCGCCCGAGGGTCTAGAATGAGAAGGAGAAATGTTTGGTTTACTCATGGAAGGGTTCATAAGCGATGAAGGCTTCCCTTGAGGTTTGATCTTGGTACCTCCAGAGCCGCTGCTGAGGCCGTGTTTTGTGATTGGGGAGGACCCGGGCTTGCCCACTGATTGGGTGGAGCTTTTGGACTGACCTGAACCAGAGCTGCCTTGGCCTGAGTAGAGGCTGCCGCTCATCTTGGACCCCGAAGACCCATCCGACTTGCTGCTCTTTATTTTGCCTGACGTCGAGGAGGAAGACGAAGAGGATGACGATGACGAGGAGGACGAAGAGGAGGAGGAGGAATGACTGTGATGACTTTTGCTGCTCAAAGAAGAGACTGAGCCACTGCTTGTGTACTGCCCATGGGAAGGTTTGCCAACAGTCACTGTTCCCTTGGGAATCTGGATGGTGATTTTAGGGATGGGAGGAGTAGCTACCCCAGGGGGTGTTTGAGACCTGCCTGAACTTCCAGGAGATTTTGAGCCACCTGTGCTTGCTGGTGGGGTGAAAGGTCTGGTGGATGTACTATGAGAAGGAGATTTGCCTTCTGGCTCTACCTTCCTCCGCTTCTGGACCTTTTCTTTACTCTTTCCATCACTGGATGGGGTGCGATTGCGTTTTCCACCCTTGCCATCCAGCCCAGGGCCCATTAAAGAACTCCCAGTTCCATTACCCTCTTTGACCCGCTTCTGTGATTTTTCTTTCCCCAATTCTCCCATACTCAGTAAGGGGCTCTGGCTTCCACTATGATGTTCCAATACATCAGAGGCTCCCAGAGCCTTGCTGGTAGCAGTGATAATACTAAAGTCGACTGTGTCCGCTTGGCTGCTTGCCTTGAACTTACTCTCCCCTCCATCTCCCCCCAGTACTTGCACACCCAGAGTACTTATCGTTTGCGGTGCAAAGCCCTTGAAGTCATCAGCGTCTCCGCTCTGGCTGCTATCATCAAAATAGTCTTCTCCAAAACCGCTTTGGCTCTGGCTGTTCAGGAGATCAGGATTGAAGTCAACTCCATCTGGGAAGAACTGATTTGAAGAGTCACTATTTGGGCTCACAGTAGCATCAGCAATCAAATCAGCTGGATCAGTGTATGGGTTTTCACTGTTATTTGACTGAAAAACATCTGGATCAAAAAGGGCACTTTGTGAATGCCCAGAACTGGATGAGTCCCTTATTGGTGTCCCAATAGGAGGACAATCTTCATTGGTATTCGGCAATTTGGATGCTTCTTCTGCTATGTCAGAAAGAATATCTGTAACATCAGCACCAATGCTGTCTGAACTGGAGAGCCGGACCATTCTCTGAATACTGGGTTGGGCATGAGGTATAGATTGTGGATAAGTTGTTGGAGGGGTGCTGCACTGACTGGGTGCTGGAGTAATATGAGGAGTATCTAAAGTGTCAGTGGTCATATTGACATCAAATATAGGGTTCTGGGAATCAACATCCATAGAAAACAGCTCTCTCTGAAAGTCATCTTCAGTTTGATGCTTTGGTTTATCCACTAACACACGTGATTTTTTCTTTTTTTGCTTATTGCCCCCTGGTCCCATTTCCATCCTTGGAGAGCCAGAAGAAGAGTTCTGTCTCTCAAGTGGACTGCTTCCATAAAGAGTTGAGAAATCTTGAGCAGCATTGTCCTTCAAAAGATTCATAAGCATTGGATGATTTTTGGTGTTGCTTGCAGGAGATGACACAGGGGGAGGTGTGTGGTGTGGAGGAGTGGGACTAGAGCCAATAGTAGAGCCTACATTTCCTGTGATTTGCAGCAAACTTGTAAGAATGGGGTTCTGAGACACTTTGCTGAAGTCCTCCCCATGTCCCACTGAATCATGCCGATCTTTGATGCCCATGCTCATACTGAATAAAGTGGAGATGGGGCCCCCAGGGAAAGTACTGGTTGGGGTGGTGGTGCCACTCATTGGGTTGTTGCCAGTAGTCATGCCATATCCTGGGCTGCTAGCAGGAGGCAGATTCTTCTTCACCATGTCTTCAACTGTCTCAGCAATGAGGGACAAAGCTGGTGTGTCTGCTTGGATTGTCTCTGCCTTCCTCCTTATCGCTCTCATAGTCACAGGAATCGACATACACCTGCAAGATACAATGTTGTAAAAAAGCACATTTAGTCCTACTATTTAATAATTTTCTCAGAAAAGCACAACTACTCTTATCACAAAAGATGCCAACAACGGTAGGTCTAACTATACATTTTTTAACCAAATATAATTCAAGTTCAGATGCTTTATGAGTAGTATATACACTTAATTTTTTCTTCTTTAGAACATGGTTGCCAATTGCCCAAATTTTGATCATGTGATTGTAGGGTTACTACGATAGTCATAAATGTGAAAACTGATTGTAGGTCACTTATTTCTATGCTGTTGAATATAGAATTGTCACTAAATGAATGGTTGTAAAGAACTATATGTACTTTAACTCTCCATATTGTTTCTGATTCAAAGAAAGATGTAAATCTTCCAGTCTTATCCCTACTGGGAATATAACAACATAATTGCCACAATTCTTGGTTCTCGCAGGCAATTAGACAAAAATATAATAAATGTAGTCCCTAGCTTTAAAATAAGTTGGCTAATCCTGAATGAGAAAAAAATATGGGATATCAAGATCTCATGGGTTATACGCATTTTCTTCTACATAAAAGTGATTATATCTGATTAGGTTCATAGGTATGTTATAGGCAGTCTTCAACTTAGAACCATTCATTTGGTGATTGTTCAAAGTTCCAATGGCACTAAAAAATATGACTTATGACCATTTTTCACATTTATGACCTATGTAGCATTCCCATGGTCAGGTGATCAAAATTCAGACACTTGGCAACTGGTTCATATTGGTTGGTTGCAGTGTCCTAGGGTCATGAGATCATCTTTTGCGACCTTCTGACAAGCTAAGTCAAAGAAAGATAGGTTCATTTTATAATCATGTTACTAACTTAACTGCAATGATTCACTTAACAATTGTGGCAGGAAAGGTCGTAAAATGGAACAAAACTCACTTAACAACTATATCACTTAGCAACAGAAATTTTGGGCTCAGTTGTGTTCGTAAGTCGAGGACTACCTGTACGCTTTCATATACTGGACAAGCTAGTGGCCCAATTCATACATACTTTGAAGCCATAAACTACTGCTTGCAAAGATTTACTATGTGAAGCCATAACAAAACAAAGTACATTGTATCTTAATATATATATGAATTTAGCCAATCTTGTTATACAGCTGTAATGGAGAACCTATGGCGCAAGTGCCGGAAGTGGCACGCAGAACCACTTCTGCTGCCACCATGCGAGAGGTTACCTGGAAGAGCCCCACTGTGCATGTGTGTGCGCGCCGCCGCCCAATAGCTGATTGTCGGGTATGTGGCACACATGCGTGGGGGGCAGGGGGTGCGCGGAAGACACACATACATGCACAGAGACGCATGGCACGTGGGGAGATCGCACTCGCATATGCAGATACATGGCGTGTGTGGGGTGTGTGTGTGTCATGTGCATGCACAGGGGGGAGCATGCATTGCCTTCTGGTTGCGCATGCACAATTTTCGGCACAGGAACCGAAAAAGGTTAGCCACCACTGTTATATAGCTTTGAAAAAATTAGGCAAAGTAAATTCAGAATAGTGTTGCATAGAGGGAAGCTTTTTTGCTATTGGAGTAGCATCTGAAAAATAGCAGTGTATCAAACAGGAAAATAATAAAGAAGGATTTATGGAGAAAGCTATTTGAATATATCTCTGAATAATCACTTTTATATTTTACTGGTTTCAAGTCTTCAGTTTTCTTTTGTTTAAGCAGACATACCTTTGAACAACCTTTGCAATGAAATCATCTGTACAGATGAGTGCATCAGAAAGCCCTTTATACAATTTGCAGTTCACATGGGTAGAATCTTGTACATCCATTACCACTGAAAGACAGAATTCATAAGCAGAATGTTACTGAAAATTATTCAATTTTCAAACAATGCCAGTTAATTTTTTTATTTGTATCCTGCCTTTATTATTTTTTCAAGTAACTCAAGGCAGCAAACATATCCAACATACCTTCCTCCTCCAATTTCTCCCATAACAACCTTGTGAGATGACTTGAGCCCAAAGTTACCCAGTTGGCTTTTATAGCTAAGGTGGAACTAGAACTCACAGCCACTGCTTTCTAGTCTAGTGCTTTAGCCACTAGACCAAACTGACTCTCAGTTTATACATATATTTTGCCCCAAACCTCCTCCTTCCTGCAACTCACCACAAACTAAGGAGTCATTAACAGGATGCTGAAAAGATACACTGAAGCAGGAGTCAGAAAGGGGGCAGACCTCAAACTGCAGGATGCCAGGGGAATCTGAAAAAAGGACACAACTTTTAATATAGCCAAAAGAAAAGTATTTGTTTTAAGTAGGGATATCAATAAGCCTTTGAAGGTCTAGAGAACACTATTCACTTATAATGGAAGTCAAGGAAATAAGAGACATTAATGTTTTTATTTGCAACTTATTTATGACATGGAAAAATTGATTTGAAGGCAAGGTCAGATAATTTGTTGTCCCCATTAAAAAAACATAGAGAGGTAAACCGGGAGCCTTTAAATTTGATTTAATAGAAGATCTTCCCAAATAGAATTTGTGTTAGGGAATGACAGAACCATATTGCTGACAGAACTTTAACTGGTGTTAACTGTTGTTTGCTTGTTGAGTTCTGAAAACCTGAAAATCTTTGCACTGTTTATTATTTTAATTGACCCTACAATGATTTTTTTTCCTCCCATAGACAGAACTTAGCTAACTAGGATTTAGTGATTTATTCAGGATCACTTATTCCAATGGAACTTATTTCTGAGCATGCACTTTTAGAATTAAATGTTATTTTTTTTCAAATGCTCCTTTCTTTAGAGGTTTGCACATTTATTTATCTCCCTTTCTGATAGGCTGCTTTGTCCCTGGCATAGAACAAAACTGCTTAGTTCAATGATTCATCATAGCTGCCTAAATCATATTTGTTATGTGTTTATAAACTACTATATATTTTATTGCCATTTTTAGGCTTTTATTACTTTGTACTCTGCCTGTTCCTATTGAATTTAGTTGCTCTTGGAAACAATATGCAAATGAAAGTGAAATATATATTTAATCTTGGTAGAAGAAACATTCCTGATGATAAAGAGACGGCTAGTATTTTTAAAAACAATTCTGAAATGAAGTCTCTTTGGGAATGAAAGAGATATCTGTAGGAGTATTGCAACTGTTTTTTCTGCTGTTTGCTCTTATCTGTGATTCTGATTTATGTATTAGCCAAGATCAAGGTCAATGTGAGACTGACAAGAGTTGCAGTGTAAAAATATCCTAACCACCACATGTTGCCATTTGTAACTTAACCTATCTCACAGATTTGCTGCAAGTCTATAGTGAAAAAAAATCTTAAATTCACCAATCTGGATTCCTTGGAGGAGACATAACAAATTCTCCTAATTGTAATTTGATTTCGTTTATCTTACTTTTAATATTTCCTCAAAGTATCTAACATATTCTGTACTCCTTTCATGCCTCTAGCAAAGACATAAACATACTATGTTGGGAGAATACTAATATATTAAATTTAATAGAAAATTAGTTTTAAATTCAACATGGTTGAATTCAAAATCATGACTGAAATTCCTTCTAATAATATTGTCTAAAGGCACGATATCAATACTGTTCTGATCTTACCCAATTTTCTGTAAAAAAGAAATTTTTAGCTACAAAATATATTTAGTTTCATCTGGAAAAAATAACAGTCTAAAAATCGAATTTATGTCTGCTTGTACTAGTATCCTGTACTTTAAAATTTTCAAGTACTTTTGAGTTGCATGTTGCCAAATCAAATCAAACAACCAAATAAAGTCCAATATTGGAACTTGTCTTTCCTTCAGATAGATATACAACCTACTGTAATTCTTGAGACGAAAGATGCGCAGTAGCATGTAAATACAGGTGATACATTACAGGTAGTCCTTGACTTATGCCTACAAGTTAACTAAAATTTCTGTTGTTAAGCAAAACAGTTAAGTGAGTTTTCCCCCATTTTATGATCTTTCGACAGAAGTTTTAGGTGAATTACTGCATTTGTTAGTAACACGGTTAAATGAACTTGACTTCCCCAGACTGACTTTGCTTGTCAGGAGGGCACAAAAGGTGATCACATGACCTTGGGACATTGCAACTGTCATAAATGTGAATCAGGTGTCTGTGTCTGAATTTTGATCAAGTGACCCTGGGGATGCTGCAACAGTTGTAAGTGTGAAAAATAGTCATAAGTCACTTTCTTCAGTGTAGTTATTTATACCTTTGAATTGTTACTAAACAAACTGAAGTAAGTTGAGGACTATCTGTACTGGATATAATAACAGCATCACAACATGTTTATTAGAAATGTATGTTGACTAGCAGAATGACAGATGCAGAAGTAAAGCATACTTGCATCTTCTATTTTGCTGGAACAATCTGTAAAATAAGCAGGCATGATTTTTTAAAGTGGCTTATTAAACAAAAATAATAGTTATGTTTAAATCAGTGTGTGTGTGTGTGCGTGTGTGTTCGTAACTTGACAATGCCAGTAACAAAGGTGCCTTTTAAAAGCTCTTTGGATGCTTCCTTTTTAAAGAAGCAGTAGTACTCACCTTCTTTTAAAACAGTTCGCTTGACACAGCTGCCTATTAGTGTATTGTAGGCCACCTGATGCCTGATCATACTGAGAATGAGAGGCACTCGACTAGGATGGTGGAAAGCAATCTTATTAAGCAGTGTTCCTTGAAGGCTTCGTCCATCTGGCAATGGGGCATCTTTGTTGAGGAAATAACAATGCTGTTGTCCTGGCAAGGCCTGGAATTTGAAATACATGAACATATATACATAAAGCAGGGGGGAATATTACAAAGCAAATGCTTTTATAAGGAGTAGCTTTACAAAGGTGAACTGAATCACCTTTTAAGGCAAATGTTTATTGATTATGTGCCACAAAGTTGTTTCAATTCCTAGTGACAATACAGATAGGGTAGATTTTATCCAGGGGAAAGTTATACTTTTAAAAATATTTATACTGTTTACAATATCTAATATCTGTATGTGTTTACTGGAGTAAAGGAGATGTGTTCCAATAGTGAACTACCAAATCCTGGGATGTATATAGTAACAACCTTTTTGTCCTTTTAATAACATGGGTCAAAATAGTAACAGTGAAAGCATCCTTTCTAAATTCAGCAAATATTCCACTCATATCAATCTCAGCAATCAGTATCAATTATTGGGGATGATTACAAAAATTCTAATTTAAAATTACCCGTAAAAGATGGCAAAAGACTGCTTTAATCCACATATGACCACTTTGTTTAGGCAACCTTACAGAGTTTACTTATGGTATGTTCTTATACAGTACAAGGATAACATTCTGATTTATTACTTTTTATAGACATTTAAAAATAAAATTAATACCTAATATATTAAATTTTAACAGACTCTTCCAGGAAAAAAAATGATATATATAATGCTTTAAATCCAACAGAGTTAAAATGTTTTTTTCTAGGTTTGTCCATGACATAAAGGAATTATTACCCTTTAATTTCCATCCCAGGTAAATAATGTGACATCAAAAAATGATATACTTTTTAATTGTAATTTAGATTGTATACTACTTATTTGGCAAGAAAAAGGCTTATTAAAAAATAAGATTCAACTAAGTATTGTAAACAAAATTTGGCACATTATAAATGAAGAACCAAACATTTTTTTTAAATCTTAAAAGACATCTAAGAGTTACAAGCTTTCGAAATGGCTGTTGACAGAAGTGATAAAGAGAGGACGTTCAAATAAAACCCCCTAAAACAGAAAGTGGAAGATGGTTTATAGAATCCCTTGGAAATTTATAGAAACACAACATAAAAATGCATGGCTTGAATTAAAAAAAAAGATATTGTAGGATAAGTTTTCTTATCTTCATTATGTCAATGTTATATCATAGTATTATAACAAGAAAATGTTATGTCAACAAGAGTGTGATGAAGGAAGAAAAAAAATGTCCTTAACCATTTCTATTTTCTTGTAACTATTCCCATTTGGAAAGCATAGACTATTTTCTCTGTATTGCTGGAGCACTGAAGGTCTTTAAAATGCAGAAATATGTTACAGACCTACTGATCTTTGTTCCCTAGAATAGAAAACCTAATTGGTAACATCTGTAATAGTATGAAACTGAAACTACCATTCAAAGAGGGTAGTGTATATAATGCTCTCTAGATACTTCCCAGGTACATAAAATAGATAATTCTGTAAATTAAGAAAAAAGCAAATAAAATACAAAACAAACTATCACAAAGGTACTTTTTAAAGAGACAACTGGACTTTCTGGTTTTTCTTTGAAGACATTTCCCTTCTCATCCAAGAAGCTTCTTCAAAGAAGTGAAACGTCTTCAAAGAAAAACTAGAAAGTCCAGTTGCCTTTTTGAAAAAGCATCTTTGGGACAACCATGACCTGGATGACTGAGAATCTCCATAGACACAAAACAAACTCTTATCTAAAAAAAAAAAAGGATTTTTCAGATATGCTCTGAACCACCAAAATGGAGGCATTATTATTCTTTCACATAAAATGGACAGTATGATAGAGAAATTCACAATTAGCCCCATATACATCAATGAGAAGAAACCCTACTGAATTCTATGGAGCTTACTCCAAGGTAAGATAATATATGTGGGTATATGCATATTAATTAATTAATTAATCAATCAATCAATCAATTAATTAATTAATATTTATGTAGTGTATATTGGAGGTGGTGTCCCTTTGAGTGCTGTAAAGAACAAAATTTCATTTTAATGTATGCTGATTAGTGTGTATTTAAAGTGACAATAAAGTTATTCTAACACTATTTCTAAATAGGCATATTTAGAATAACTTAAGAAGATTAATTCACAGAATGGTGAAAATAAAAGGAAAAAAGAAAAAGAGAGAAGATAGGAAAAGAAATTAGCCTACAGGTAGTCCCTGGATTATGTCCATTTGTTTAACATCATTCAAAATTATGACTGCACTGAAAAAATGGACTTACAACAGGTCATCAAAGTTATGGCCACTGCAGCATTCCTAGTCATGTGATCAAAACTGAGTGCTTAGTGACTGATCCACATTTAAAATTATTGCAGCATCCTGTGGTCACGTTTTCTTGTCCTGTGCAAAATGCTTACATTTCAACCCCCCCCCCCCAATCAGCCTACTCCCCCAATCTGTGACCTTGGCCAGCAAGCCTGCAAGATAAGAGGCTGCTGTATTCTGCTGCTGTACACCCATCCACCCCAATGCTATGAAAGGTGGCCAAAAGGGCAGACAGTTTGAAGTCCTAGCTAGCCTAACAACTTCATAGTCCTAGCCTAACAATCACAAGCTGAATTGTCAGAGCTGCCTTTGCTAAGTGCCATAGTTATATGATGTTTTCCTTAACTTTGCTTAGTGATGGAAATTATGGTCCCAATTAGGACTGTAACCTGTAGATTGACTGTACTTGAATCTCAAATCAAAATATGATTTATCAGTTAAATAATAAGGAAATTCTCAGTTTAAAGTTAAAGACATTACATAATAGAACACAACTATATTTATAGCACTATGTATTAACATTGTTCTGGTTTTCAGAAATTCTATACTTAGAACTTGCCTAGTTCATATGTTACTCTCTCTTGATAACTTACAGCATAAAAGCGCATGGTGTGGTGCAATGAACAAGGATCTTCCTCCTCCTCCTTGGATAGCTCAAACTGTGTGATGAGCTCATATAATGGGACATATGTTGGAGGAGTGTCAAACAGCGGGATACCTAGAAATAATAAGAAAATATTATCAGCCCCAGAGATTTAACTAAAGAACAGCTGTTATTACATTGCAGTTGAGGGAATATTGCATTGTTTAGTGCAATTCTGCAATTTCTCCAAGGAGGGAGACTGCATTATGGAATTGCCATAATTATCTTCCCAGACACCACAAATATTTAATACACAAATACATTCCCATTTGGCAATTGGAAGTCAAGGATTGGATCATTACTTACATAATAAAGCCAACCTAAAAATTAACATGGTCCACAGAGAGAATACCACTCTTGGGAGATAAAAAGGTATAATCATCAAAACCTGTGCCTTTCCCCAATCAAATTTTTCCTCATTCATCTCCCAACATGTTAATTAAGTATTTTAGCATAATATCTCTGGTTTGAATTGGAGGCTGAAGGTGTACTTGTATAACTACAGGAGAGCTAAAATAGTTGTGAATAATCAAATTTATATTTTAAAATATATATAAATTTTGTTTTGTCTGCATAGGAAGAAGAAAAAGGGATAAAGTATTGAAAGTAGCTATGGGTAACTTGCAAGGGCAGGGGAAAAGGAGTGGGGAGAGCAAAGAAAAAGACGAAGCATATTTATTACCACAAAACTGTGCAACCTTACTCTGAGATGCTACCCTTTCCCAGACTATGATATATTTCCATGATTATTTATAATGACAAATATACAACATTTTCTTGGCTTAAAAAAATAGAATTTCAGCAGCAGAAATTAGGATTGCTTCTAATTAGGTTCATGGAAAAGTCTTGTGAAAAAGAATAAGAATGCATTTTTAAAAAGCTACTTTGCTGCCATCTAATGACAGAAGGTACCACTGGAAAAAAATCCATCGATGTCCACAAAAGTCTTGCAAGAATTTATCAAACGTTATTACCAGTGCAGTTCTGAAGTTTCTGAATGAAAGCCTGTGAAACAGGAACAGGTTTTGGAAATTTCAAAAAGAAGCAAGCTGGAAAATCAACACTATTAGCACTGGTAACTGAGGAGAATGAGGGTGTCCTGAAAAAAAGAAAAGAAAAAAATATTTGATAATCAGATTGTTTTTAGTGACTGAAGACCAGAGAAGAGATGATTGATTACATGTGTAGGGAAAGAGCATCTTAACTCACTATTTTATTCATTAAAAAGAATATAATGGGAAATGTGCAAAAAAGGGACCAAAATGACCTTGTCCTATAGAACATTAATGAGCATTCAGTGTTGCTTTTTTCTTACCCTTTGTTATCAACAGGGTGAGTCCCCATAATCAGAGGGGCAATTGGAAGTTTATTCATAGTTAAGGTTCCCTCAATTGTAACACATACATTCATGCCTAGGTAACGAGGAACTGAAAGGAAAGGAGAAAAAGGTACAATTTTTCAAACAGTTTAATGCTAGACACTACATAACTTGTGATCAACATAATGCACTGTTATACAGAAAACAGATTTGTGATTCTTTGATAATGGAGGGCATTCTTGAATGAGTAATGACTTTTAACATCCCAAAGGCTGCTGTATACAAATTAAGACCTGCCCACTGCAGGCAAGCTTTAAATCCTATGTTCTCCCATGAACTGGAAGTACAATTTCTTTCTATGGCAGATTCTTGATATATGTTCTTTTACTGGAAGTCAGGAGCATGTACATTTAATAAATAATGCCTTTTTCCTACTTATTCTCAAAGTTTTAAGCATCCTTGGCAAATTTGTAAGGTTGTATGGGATTCTCCAACCCTGCTCTCACAACCCAAGAGTTTATTTAAAACCAAATATTCCAGCTATGTCCTTTCTAGGGTTCTTACTCTGTCAACGATGTCATTTAAAGATATCTATTAGGCTCTGAAAATAGGAACAAATGTCACTGACACACTCCTTCCAGTTTTCAGAGTTTAAGAAAGGGACTCTAACCACAGAACAGTTTCTCATATATTAAAGCATATACATTCTTTTGCTTTAGTATCTGTAACGGAATCAACAATCTACTTGAAGGGAATATGGGCATGGGTAGCAAGAGATGCTGGCAAAATGAACGGCAATGATTTATGTTTGGGCCTTGGCCATTTACTCTTTGATAACTGTCCAAATTAACTTGAAAATTAACTGGCAGCAATTTAACATGTAAGATTATCTCATCTAAGACTTTCTTGGAATGCCAGTATTGTGCTTCATCCAGAGGTGGGATTCAAAAAATTTAGCAACCAGTTCTCTGCCGAGTTGCTGGGTGGGCATGGCCAATGGTGGGCATAGCTTAGCCAGGCTCCTACACCATGGCAGAGGTGGGGGTGCATTTTCATCCTCCCTGGGCTCTGGAGGCTTTCCTCGAGTCTCTGGGAGGGCAAAAACAGCCTCCCTGGGCTCTGGAGGCCCTCTTCCGTAAGACTGTTTTTCGCCCTCCCTGAGCCTCTGTGCGGGCCCTGTACTTACCTGGGATCCAAATCAGGCTGCTTGGGGACTCCTGGGAGGGGAAGGGCCAGCCAAGGATGGATTTCACTGAAACTGCCTTAAAATTAGCTACCAGTTCAGTATGGGTTCACCCAAATTGAGGCAAACTGGTAGCAGCCCACCCCTGGCTCCATCTCAATATAAATCATGTATTTGATACTGAATGAAGAAATTCAAGATCATTTTTAACTTTTAAAGAGGTATCGCTGATTCAAAGTCCTCTCTGGGATTCTGTGTAAAAGATATATTTCAGAAGTTCAATGCATTTGTTTGGTAAGGCAATAACTTGCATTGCAAAGGGGGAAAGATTTTCACAATCTTTGTTCCCCAAATATTTTGGTAGGTGTAATACTGTTTAAGAGATCAATGCATCCCACAGGAGCCTCTATGATTGTCGGTTCAACCTCTGCTTTTGGTGAAAGGTGATTGTGTTTGCATATCCTTCTCATCTTGAATTATGTATTCTTAAGTATCTGCATGTTTTTTCCCCAATAACTAAACATTTTCTCTATCACTTCAATTTAATCCTTTCTCACTTTGTTTATATATTTTTCATTCTCTTTTTCCATCCTCCATGTCACATTTTTTGTTGGAAGACAATGATTTTTCATTTGTACGTACATTTTACTTAATCATTAATAATTTCTCCAGAATAATCCCTTTAGAAAATAATTCATTGCTTACTACTTTTTTGCTCCGTGAACAATTTTAAATGAAATATCAATTTTATATCTGCCTTCTTTTTTATTTTTATTTCAATGCTCCTCCCATTTCAGTGTGTGTGTGTGTGTGTGTGTGTGTGTGTGTGTGTGTGTTATTCAGCTTTGTTTGGGTATTTTCCCACGTCATTATAGTTATGCTTTTAAAGTTGTAGCAACGTTTCGGCAGAATCTCATCTGCCATCATCAGGCTTCTGTATTGTGTTTGTCCGTGAGTCAGGCTTTACAGCTGTTTCTGTTTTAAATTTGGTGCTAGCCTATTGCTGTACCAGAATGGTTTTTTCTTCATCCTGATTGGTTGGGAGTCTTGGTCTGTGTTTATTGGTCTTGGAGTTTGCTGTGTTCTGCTTGATTGGTGTTTCTAATATCTTCTGTCTGTTTTGTAGCCTTTTTTTGTCTTGATTGGCTGGCAATATTGTGTTTCCTGTATTGGAGGCTTTTAGTGCAGCTTGGCTTCGGGTAAATAGACGGCTATCATTTATTAGGAAGCTAGGTTTCATCTGGGTGCCAGCAGTAGACTAGCACCAAATTTAAAACAGAAAGGGCTGTGAAAGCTTGACTCACAGACAAACACAATACACAAGCCTGATGAAGGCAGATGAGATTCTGCCGAAATGTCTCTACAACTTTAAAAGCACAACTGTAATGATGTGGGAAAATACCCGAACAAAGCTGAATACCATACATATAAATACTTGCGAAAACTTAAGGTATATGGATGTGTCCTCTTGTCAAATTGCATTGGCAAAGGGTTACAATATAGTTATTGGGTTAGTTATTGGGTTGCTGCAATCAAAACACCATGGACTTATAAATCCTGGAAGTTCTATTAAATTTTGTACACTTTATAAATGTGATTAAAGATTTATGTTTTTTCTTTGCTAGACTATGAGCAAGCAGAGTTATTCTAGTTATTCTGAAAATCAGAAATGAGTTGGAACAAGTTATCTCTATGAAGAAAGCACAGCACTTCAGGCTATTTCTCAGGTTGAGGATATATCTGTGATCCAGGTAGCACAGTCATTTCACAGTCCCATCACTTAGACCAGGTGTGTCCAACCCATCTCCCATGGCCCAAGTGCAACCCTGGTCAGCTAGCAATGTGGCCCCACAAGATCATAAACTATATGGTTTATATACATTAACTGTATTATAGACTGTATATGTGGCCCAAGACAATTCCTCTTCACCCAGTGTGCCCAGGCAAGTCAAAAGATTGGACACCCATAATTTAAGCTTTGAGTTTCATAATGCATTAATTTTATCAATAATTATCACATAATGGCTGCAAGAGGCCTCTACAAGTTTTTTTATTTGAATTCTTTACTTTAGCTATTCTTTATTAAATATGCATACCTAAGTGTTAATCTGCCTTACTGCTATTAAGGATATTCAAAGAGATTTAAGACAATCCAGCATCCTAGAATGCCCAATTCAGATAATCAGTGCATGATGGCCAATACTATGCAAGAATAACATACCATTATTCTCATTCAGAATGATGGGAGCTCCAGTGCCTTCTTCAAATAAATCATAAGGAGAAACATAATACTTCAGATTCATCAGGTGACCTGAAATAAGCAGGTTTTTTTAATGGAAAAATAAGAATAGAAGAGTAAAAAAACAAGTAAGAAGAATAAAAAAAATCAAGTCTAAATGTTGATCTGAATATATAAGTTAATCTGTTCAATTAGTGCAAGGATCTCCAAACTGGCTGGGGAATTCTGGGAGTTGAAGTCCATATGTCTTAAAGTGGCCAGATTTGAAGACCCCTGAATTAAAGTTATTTATTAAATTTCCATCTCAATTAATGACTCAATTCCAAAAACTATAAAAACAATAAAAATAAAAAGCATTTAAAACAATAAGTTATTATTTTATTTATTTAAAATGTGATTTGATTTATGCATTTAGCTTACCCAGCAGTTATTCAATACTTTGGAACTAAAGGTGAAAAAATGATTTGAAAATTGAAACGTAATACTGTCTGTCTTTCTTTGAGAGCTGGGTTGCATGCATGTTTAATAGTATTAATATTACTATAGTTATTCTTGCAGTTAGCCAGATATGTACAGTTGGATTTGGGATTTCCCAAGGACTGGGTTAGGCAGATGTTGTTTGATGATGTTAAAGATATTGTCGCAGGATGCAAGCTGTTTCAAGTAAAACTATCTTTTGCAATTGGCTGGTAATGATTTTGTCGATGCTGTTGGTGTTCAAGTAGTGTTCCAGTTAATTTTATTACTTTCTTCTTCATTTTACTTCTATTTGCAGATCTTTATATTATTTTAGGATTTTTTGCAGTTCTTTCTTTCTCTTCTGTTCTGCTGTCTCCAGGTACTGCTCTGCTCATTATCCAGATTACTATTATTGTTAATCCTAGGATCCTGCAGCTGCTGGAACCCCAAAAACCAGTGTATTTGGCTGTAGGCAGGAATTACATTTGTACCAGATTGAAAGTTTTTTATTGTTGTCAGAAAAGGAATTTGTTCTGGGGAAGAAATTAGCAAGCTAAAGATGGCTCCATGCAAAGGAGAACTGAAAATCAGGACAGAATGAAGAGGCCGTGACTAGACCAGGTCTTTGATAGTATTTTCCATATAAGGAGAGGATTTGAGATTGCTCACAAGTCAGCTGCTTCTTGTGAAGACCAACAGATAGTGGACTCTGGCAGATTTTGAGGTCTCAGAATGAGGGAATAAGCATCTCAGCAAAACTCAGTTAATACCTTGAAAGGACAAGTTCATATACTTCCTTTTCTAATCACTTTTGAAAATTGCTTGTTAACTAATTTGCATCTATTAGCAACCCTGGGATAAATTCATTTCATTATACTGGGTAAGCTTACTGCAATCCTTGACAAAAGAAATTTTAACCATAAGTTTAAGAATTTAATTATTTTTCTTTGAATAAATAGCAAAAGAATAATTAGACTATTATTTTGGAAAGTGACAAATGTATTAAAAGTCCAGATAAATTTGAAAATAAGATTTTGGAATTAATTATAAAGAATCCTTCCTGTGGAAAAATGCTTTGGTTTGATTTGTTTTTACAAAAAAAGCATAATAGTTTATAAATTAGACACCAGAGGAAAATAAATACCATAATAAAAGGACCAAACCTCTAAAACTTAACTTACAATTACAGAATTAAACAACTATTTTAAAATTGGACATACTGAAGGATATGTTTGAACAATGGACTCACAATTTAATTTTAATAGTGTCTTCAAATATAGCTAGATCAGTGGTGGCAAACCTGTTTTGGCTCCTATGCCGATAATTGCGTGTGCGCGCTCGTGTGCCAGCACCCAGAAGGCAATGTGTGCTGGCCCCACCCCACCTTCGCATGCCGCATGTCTGCACATACGCATGTGATCCCCTTGCCGCGCACCTGCGTGTTCAATTCCCCCGCTGTGCACCATGCATCTCTGTGCCTGCGTGCATGATTCCCCATCATGTGCCATGTGTCTGCACATGCAATCACTCATCTCTGCGCATGTGCACGTGTCTCCCGCACACGTGCACCAAATACTCAACAATCAGCTGTCAGGAGGTGGCAGCACGCATGCATGCGCAGTGGGGCTCTTCCAGGTGAGCTCTCGTGTGCCAGGGGAAATGGCTCTGCATGCCACTTCCAGCACATGTGCCATAGGTTCGCCATCACAGAGCTAGATAGTATTAAAAACCTTATGCAAGAGCAACAAGTTCTACTTAACAAGATCAAGAATGAGTTGAAAGTGGATTAAAAAATGACATGCTGCAGGAATGACAGGGAAAAAGATGTTACACTGGATATATAAAAGAAATGAGCTAGTCTTAATAATTAAAAGAGATATACAAACACAAACCAAGAGAGTAATTTGGTGAATTTTATTATATTGTTTGTACAAAAGGCTTGTTAAAATTTTGAACTTGTGAGAAAACATAGAGAAAAAAAATGAAAAGAAATCAAGTTGTACAACTTTATTTGAAGGGACTAAAGACCAGAGTTGTTAAAAGTAAAAGGAAATGATATAAAGTTGGTTTGTTTGATCAAGGTTAAAATAGATGTTGTTATTTCTGGTAAACCTTTTAATGGACTTTTGCTGACAATAAGACTAGAATGATGAAGCTTTATGAATTCATTTAAGACTGCAAAATAATTTTCTCGAATGTACAGGTTGATTATAATATGCACTTTATGTGCATTTTTTATAATATTTTTGCTGAACTAGCAGTTTTTGAGATCCGTATTTTACCTGTAATGCACTACGGATTCAACTGCATTGGCTGAGCTAAGCAAGGCTGGCAGTCAGAGCAGAGTCCGCAATTGTCTACGGCTTTATTCCGAGCTCTCCTCGTTGGAGGGTCCCAATCAGGACCGGAACCATCTTGTAGGGGTGATGAAGAAAGGGGGACTGCCTGGCAGGTCAAGGGGAGCCGCATCTCCTCTCCCCAGTAAGGAAAACCCCCTCCAAAGATGAGCTGCAGCGATAGCCTAAAATGGCTACCATAAAAACGGGAGGCAGTCTGGAAAACTAAGACTGTGCTGGAGCGGAGAAGCAGTGAATGGTGTGCGGACTGGGTGATAATACTGCAAATTTTAAGGTAACCCCGATAAAACAAACAGAAAAGAATTCTCATAAAGAATTGTGTTAGCTGCGATTGGAAAGTGAGAAAACTGGAAAACGCAAGGAATTTACTTTTTTGGGAAAAGAAAAAAATTAAAACAGAAACAACTCAGAAGAAAACTTTTACAAAAAAAGAACATAAAATTGGAACTGGTGATTGGACAGGATTTGGCATGAAAAAGGCATTATTTAAAATGCTGAAATTTATTATTTAAAAAAGAAAATAACAGCTAATATTTGGAAAATTGGCAAAGTTAATAAAAGTTTAAAGAAATGTGGGGGGGAGAGGGAAGGGTGGAAAGTGAAAACTGGATTAATATTGCCATCTATTGACAAAAGAAAAATCCTGCAGATCCCTTTAAGCTAAAGACTTAACTAAAGTGTGAATTTAAAAGGAATTTAAAGTGTGAATTTAAAAGACCCCAGTAAGTTGAAATATTAAAACCAAACAGCGAAGGAATATATGAAGATATTACCCCTGGAACTATTGGTTATTTTATCTTGGAACTCTTTAAAAAGTAATAGACTTATTAAAATTGGGAAATAAAGACTTGAGAACATCGACTTTAAAAATTAAAGAAAGATGCTGGTTTAAATAAAATAAAAACTACAGGACAATCAGGTAATTGGATACAACAAGCAAAATAAAGATGAGTGAAATATGTAAAGAAAGAAGGTTGGAATTGCAACCTGCAAATGAAATGATGAATAGAATTTTGGACTTATGTACTAAAATACAGAGCACAGAGGAAAATCCAGAATGGCGATGCAAGCAACAGAATACAGAAGGGGGAGGAGTTAGATAAAAGAGAAGCCAGCAAAACAAACCAAAGGAAACAACAAACAACACAAAAGAACAAAAAGGAAATTAAATCTAAGATGTTAATGATTGATGTAATAAAGGGAGAACAATTTGAAAGTTAAACAACAGGAAAGGAAATTACAGAAAGATCAGGAGAGGATGGGGAAAAAATTGATAACTATTAAAAAAAAAACCCAGTAGAAAATAATAGAGAAAGGAGGAACGACTAAGAGAAAGGGCCAAAACATGATAGAGAATGGAAAGCAAGCTAAGAGATGAACTAGCATAGTAAAGAGTGTTTGAGATGATGGTTAAAGATGGAAATGATGGGGATTCCACATGAAGGGGTATTTTAGTAGTTAAAATATATAAATATAGATTTTGAGGAATTTGGAATTAATAATTTCTTATAGAAATATTATTAAAGATATATAGATAACAATCATAAGAATAAGGAGTAACAATTTAATTGGAACAGTTATGAAAATAATATCTTAGGAGTATTATATAAGTGTCTATGGAAGATGTAAGAAATTAATATGTAATATGGGGAAGGAAATATGTGGAATCTGACAGAGAACACACACATATATTATATGACAGTATTTTTAATGGATAATATAATTTGTTACTTATCTGTATAAGATAATGAGGTATGTGAACATAAGCATAGGGTAATAGAAAAAATGATTATATTGTTATTAATTTATATAATTGGCCAAATGAAAATAAGATGGAAAATATAAAATTTGTGTAAATGTGATGAAGTTAGAGGGAAGGGTGTGCATGAAACAGATATATATGTATAACGATGGCAAAAGTAATATTAAAAGGGGGATAAAATATTTGATAATATAAGAACAAAATTAGGTAATAGTAATTTCACAATTTGTTTTAAATAATCAGGAATCAACCATTTTGGAAATTATTTACAAAAAGAATCATTGCACCATTAATTGGTTTATATTTGTCTATCTACCTACTTAATTTATATAAAATAGAAAATGACTAGTAAAAAAACACTTCCTACCACCACTTCTAGGAGTGAGATAGCCCACACTGCCATGGAGAATTTTGTCCAAGGGGTTTGCATTTGTGGCTTGCCTATAAGCAGATAGAAAACAAAAACAAATTTCTAGGCATTCATGATACAAAAGACATATCATAAGTATATTCAATCAGAAATTAATTCTGTAAAATTCAATAATATAAATTTGGACAAGACTACAATCTAATCCTTTAAATGAGATCCTCTCCTCCCCTGCCATGAAATCTATGTGGATAAACAGTCAGGATCATTGGATATCTATTACTGAATTTGGGAAACACAGTTCAGTTTTGTTCCAGCAACTGTTTTCTTAATTTCACACATCCCCTATTCAAAGTTTTGGAACTCATCTTTTAAACCATGTTTAGAATCTTAGATCTATCATACATATACAGTTATTTAAATTATTATATATATAGTAAAAATAATAACCAAAAATTACAACTACAATAAATCTAACACAACAGGATAAGAAACTAACATTATAAAGAGGAAAGGAAAAAAATTTGGCAAAATATGTAGTATGTTGACAAACTTTCAAGTTATAGTAAACTGGCATTTGCAATCTTCTAAACTCAGTTCTTTCTAACAGCAATCACAATGGATGAAGTGGCAGCTTTTTTGGATATTTCTATGGACTGATTTGCTAACAAAAATATTTTTTCTCTTCAGATCAATAACTCTTCAGGTTAAGAGAAGAGTTCTGGTTTAATTGAAACACTGTGTAGAGTATAAAGGTCAGCATAATAAAGACATGAGATATGATCTCTATAGCCTTGTCTAAATACAGATGTAGGCACTCCATCTTCCTCCATTACCATCAAAGGTAAAAGGCTGAAACTTTTAAAAAGTGAACACGCTCCTATGCAGAACAGAAAGAACATTGGTGAAACAACATGATGCACAAATATTTTATTTATCTATTGTTCAAATAGGATTAAAGCCAGTTCTTTCTCAGGCCACCTGCACTCCCTGGGTACTTTTTTTCTTTTTTTAAAAAAATTAGAACTAAATCCTGGGTTCATTGTGGTAAACTGTTCTTACCAATACATTCCTGCCATCTTTGAAAGATCAAGCTCCAAGGATTGTAGAGCCAAATACATTTTAGTTTTCAATTTGCTGAAAGGAAAAGAAAAACTTGTTTTAAACATTTTATACAAAAAAAGAAATTCCCCACTCTATAAGAATTAGCTAAAGATTTTAGAATCAAACAATGCTTTCAATTCTCTGTAAAAGAGAAGATGCTCTACAATGTTTTAGAACGTTAAAACACCTCCCATAATGTGTAATGCCATGTTTGCAATCTGTTCTTAGTTGCTTAGGTGGGATTGATGTTACAGAAATTAGATAAGTAAATCAATTTTATATCCAGTGTTCTGCAATTCTCCCTCTCCTGATATTGTGTTATCCCTTGCTGCAGTCAGTCTCAGTTGACTCATGACAGAATAGGATAATTATTTATAAAACAACTTGTAACACAAAAACTGCTTTCTATTTCTCCATTAAGAAACTATGATTTAATGGAATACTTACTTGTCACCTGGCACTTTATATAGATTAACAAGACCCTTAAGATGCTTGGAAAATTCATTGAAGTTTCTCTCTCTAGGAAAGAAGAAAATCCTTTGAAGCCAGCATTCTATTTAGAATATTTGTAAGGAGGAAGGGGAGAAGTGACCGTTTTGATATTGCCGTGTAGCATCCTGCTTGGAACAATTATACCCTTAATGTGCATTGTATACTTTTCAGAGATACCCTTATATCACCCATCAATCTTTCTGGATTGTTTTTTACTTCTGTAGTAGAGGATTCTTGATGTGTTTCTCAAAGCCTTAATTTCTAACCTTCAAAAAGAAACAAACATTTATAAAGAATAATACAAGAAATAAAGACATTTTCATAACTCTACATCCTTGAAGGACATAACATCCTGTTAGAATGCAGAATTAAGATAGTCTTCAGTTTCTTCTTTCAAATGTCTCTATTTTAAATACCTAATTAATATTTCCAGCCCATACTGTACAATTATTCAGTTCTATCTATCTCATTCACAGCATAAACCTTTTTTAAGTCTATCAATTTTTCATTACAATTTCCTATTCACTCTTAATAATTCTGTGAAATACTACAGTGGAGGTCACATTTGCCTGAACAAGGCCATGGTACCCATCAGCACAGCTTTGGAGCCATAGGAAATCTGACTGCTGGCCAGTCTTAAAGGCAAATAAACTAGTCTGCATTAGCTAGCTCATTGTTTGATTATCTGACTGACAGGGACAAAATCACTGGTTTGCTGTTGTTAATGAGAGAAATTTGCAGAAAACTATTGGAAAGGAATGGAGACTGTTTGTGTATAAATAAAGGTTTTGAAAAGATTGCCCCAGGGGTGGGATTCTACCAGTTCTCACCTATTCACTAGAACCAGTTGTTAACATTCTAAGCCAGCGGTCGCCAACCGGTGGGCCATGAGAAAATTTTGGTGGGCCGCAGAGATATCTCACCCCCAGAGCAGCCCCCCAAAGCAATTAATCCAGGGTGCACAGAAACACAAGGCTGCTCAGCCCACATGGCCCGCGGGAACCCTCCCCACCTACTCAATCCTTACCCATCAAACTTGTCTGCCAAGTTGCTATTTTTCCTTTTTCCAATCATCATCTGTGCTGCTGTGGTGGGAGATTTAGATTAGCTAGGAGGCAGGAAATGGCTGGATTTCTTGCTTTCTAGCTAAGCACAGCCGAACCTGCCTTAGGACTGAAGGTTTCCTTGCAAGAAAATTCAGTGCAGACTCACGGCAAGCAAATTTGAGAGACTGAGCTAGCCAATGGCAGATAGATAGATAACTGAATGATTCTGTGAACAACTCAATCTGCCTGCTTTGCCTGATTTTGGGTAAAAGTTGCTCTTTTTTAAAAATAAAAAATTCAATATTTACATGCATGGTGTGTTGTGAGTTAATTTTATGAGTTTGCTTGCAAGCAAATTTCATGTGACAGACTGAGTAGCCAATGGCAGATAGATAGATCTCTGAATGAATCTGTGATTCTGTGAGCAACTCAATCTGCCTGCTTTGCCTGATTTTGGGTAAAAGTTGCTCTTTTTTAATAAAAAATGCAATATTTATATAAATATTTATAATATTTACACAAGCTATGCCCAGCCAGTCACATGACCCCCAAGCCAAACCCACAAATTAGGCCACGCCCACAGACCCGGTTAGCAGTCCCTGGGATCTAAAATTATGAGTTTGGTGGTCCCTGAGGTCCAAAAGGTTGGTGACCCCTGTTCTATGCAGTTCGGAGAACCAGTTGCTAAAAGAAATTACTGGCCTAATCCTGTAAGGAAGGCAGGAAGGAAACATTCTGGTGTTGCTTACAGAAACTGCCTCTCTGTTAACCCTTATTACATTCTTGGCAGGACTAGATTTCCTGTCTCAGGAACGTCTCTGGAGTTTTTTTCCCCTCCTTTGCTGGTACTTTGCTTGTGTGGAATGTTCGTTCAAAGTTACAATGGCACTGAAAGAAGTGACTTACTACCATTTTTCATGCTTATGACTGTTGCAGCATCCCCACAGTCATGAGAGGCCAGGTGAGGAGAATGCGTGCCTCGATGTGAGTGATATTAAATTTCATCAAATTTCATCAAGACCTTATACATACTTATACTTGCTAGTAATTTACTCAATACTTCATCAATTCCTTGATTTATACCAAACACCCAGCCAATAACATGACCACCAAGCCATGTCCACCACCTAAGCTACGGCCACAGAACCAGTTGTTAAAAAATTTGAAGCTCACCCCTGGATTGCCCTCATATTTAGTATAAGCTGTATAACCTTTCCTTATGGTGCCCTAAAGGATTACAGCATGAACAAACCTGGGTATTTTAAAAGATTAACCCAGAAGTTGGAGAAGGCCAACTGATAAACCTGAGAGCTGAGATCAAAAAGCAGTTGATAAAACGATAATTCAGCTGTTAGAAAACATACAGCTAGGAAAGGATGATATAGCCAGTGAATAAAAGAACACAGTACTGACCTTAGATTCTGTACCAGCTCTGGGCAGCTCTGTAGTGGGGGGGAAAGGATAACATATAAACTACAAATTATTGGGAATACAATAGCATTTCCTTAAAGCAAAATAAATCACATAAAGATTAACATGGGATTTGGAGACGTCCTTAAATGCATAAAAATTTCTTTTTTAAAAATGAAAATTTTGTGATTTCCATGGATATTATAAAAGAAATCTAACTCAAGGAGGGAAAAAGCCTGGCAAATACTGGCTTAGTGTAATATAAGTTATATAAATGCATGTTATAAATCAACATAAATATTAACAAATTACTTAGCCATTACACTCTACATACCACTGGGTTTTCTCCATGATGTGCCACCTTGACATCACGCAGTTGTCCTGTAGTATCCAAGTGGACTTCCACATAGAACATATCAGATGTTATATAGCATTCAGTGCCATTTGCACTAAGATGAGATCCAAGACTTTTGTAAAGGGGAAAATTATGTCAAAAAAATGTATAAGATTATATAACTTTACCAAATTTCATCAAGACCTTATACATACTTATACTTGCTAGTAATTTACTCAATACTTCATCAATTCCTTGATTTATACCAAACTAGAAAAGTAGCTTCTCATATCTGAAATTAAGTGCCTCCTACCCAAATTTTCACTTTTATCTCCTCAAAACAATGTTAAACTATTATGAAAATATATAAAAATGTATAATGCATAATGCCGGCCAAAGAGAGCTATGAAACCTATGGAGTAGTATGACATTAGAATAGAATTATTTCAAACTTGCTTTCAAATACAGTATAATGATAAATATTTAGAACTATTCTGCTTCTGTCAATTTATGGAAAATTACATTTTAATCCACTCATAAAATAATACAATTCAGATCACAGAGGTCCACAATAGCAAGCTATGCACTGCACTATGGTCCTACAGTTGAGATTTGCGCTTGGATCAACACATTTGTTACACTCCATGTACTGCATAACCAAAGGAAACTATGTTTCCTGCAAAAGAATTGAACTTGAAACTGCTTACCAGTAGAAACGTGTGTTTTTGTAGTATATCAAAGAGACAATTAGATTAGCATGAGAGGGGATATTCAGCAGGTTCTCTCCAGTTCTAGAGAACTGGTAGCGGAAATTTTGAGTAGTTCATAGAACCGACAAATACCACCTCTGACTGGCCCCACCCTATCTATTCACTGCCTCCCGAGTCCCAGCTGTTTGGCTGGGTCTTCTTTTGTTGCCCTGCACAGGAGAATGGAGCTGGAAAGCAGGTTAGTGGGGTGGGGAGAGAATGGGGATTATACAGTAACCTTTCCCTGCCATGCTCACCAAGCCACGTCACGCCCACAGAATCGGCAGTAAAAAATTTTGAGTCCCACCACTTATTCTTTTAAATTAACTAGGTAAAACCTATAAAAGAAATAAATAACTCACCCATTTTGTCTAGCAATGGACTCTAAGCGATCTGTCATAGCAGGCAGAGATGACACTAGGAAGAGAGTTTAATTAGATCCGGTCCTCTGTCAACTTTAGTTTCTTCATATAAATGGTAAGTTGAATCTTCACTTTTTAGATTAAATTTACAATTTCTTTTGTGTGGCATTAAGTTTTTCTATTTTTCTCCTATGGTGATTCACCCCAAAGGCTTGGGGTAAGAGGACTAAGGATTTTATTGCCCAAGAAAAATGTCTTATTTTTTCTAAAGCAAAAGACTGGTAAGAGACATCAAAACATGGTAACAGCAGCACTGTGTATATATTATTATTATTTAGCAAGAAGTAGGGAATGGTAGTATCTGTTTTAAAAACAGTAGATGAAACCATGTAGATGAAAATAGCAGAATCTTGTGTTTTTTCATTCCATTCATTTTCTGGACTGCTTTTCTCTTTAACCACATGTGAATTAGCCAAAATAGTTGGAAGAAAAGCAGAGAAACATGATAAGGGAACTTTTGCATGTCTGATTCAAGTATCCTAATTCAGCATCATAACTTCTTGTTTTAAGCATTTTAATTTATTATATATCACTGTATGCTATGTAACATTGACTTCATTGCTGTTGATATGTATCATTCTAAATCAACTTCCCCATGTTAACAAATCAAGAAACAGACTCCAATTAATATGCTGCCTTGGAACTAAATCTATTTCCTCAAACAAGATTTGGATTATGACCCCACTACAGCTCTCTCAAATTGTTGGTCAAGCACTAATAAAAAAGGGTACTTTCTTTCCAATCACAAACAGAGGAAAAATAGCTATATTGTTTTAACTCTATGCTTCTTGATACAAAAGTCTTTAACTCCTCTAACTGTGCTATGAAGGATAGAGTTGGGGGCAGAGGCTTAACTTTGCACCTATTAACCAGCTTAAGTTCTAACTGGCAACAGTATAGAAGCAAGAGAAACAAACATGCCTGTGCAACTGCTTGCTGGTTCTGAGTGGAGAGAAAAAGCAAAAGCACTGACACATTAGTAATGTGGCATTTTGTACATTAATATGCAAAATATATCTGCTGATTAACCTAATAAAACATAAAGATACAGACTGCAGGAAATCATTATGTGCACAGATTTATCATCAATCTATAAGTCCTTAGGAATATGACATAAAAGTATTGTTACACAAAAAAGAGTCAATAAATACTGTGAGTTTCTTTTGAATAAATGCTGTAAACAAAGCATTAAAAGATACTTAATGATAATTCTTATAAACCAATGAGTATTTGTTAAAAATTAAATATTTAATATATATGTTTTTGACACAACCACCAACCTTTTAAAGCCTTCTGCAAAGTTTCTAAGCAAGTGATGAGATTCTGATGACCTCCAGAATTCATGACAATTCGTTTTTCCTACATTCAAAAGAAATAGGAGAAAATATTTCATGTCATATTTAATAGTAAAATGAAAGAGAATTAAGATATTAATACATTTAATATATATGTTCTATAGCTACAGAAAATGGAGATTTGAACAAGCTGTATTTTATCATCACAAAGAAATCAAGAAAAGAGAGATATGGATTATATCAACACAATGGACCAATGGTAGTTTAGAATTGTCTTATGGAATGATAGAATGTGACAACTGTTATTCAAATTTAAGTAAATTCTAATTAATATTTCCTAAGATCTGAAATAGTTGCTCAATAAGACTATCAATAGACTATCAATTAATTCACAGGGGATGATAGCAAAAGTCTAAAAAAACAAATTAATTTAAGTCTATTAATCCTTACCATAACTTGTCTAACAAGCTTCATGGTTTCTGTCCAAGGTCTACTGTTGGGATTAAACTTGACATGAAGTCTTTCCAGAAGGGAACTCATCTTATTCAGTTTCTCTGATTCTATAAGGAAAATCACAAGTCATGTGTAATTTATCTTTAATTTTCACCAAAGCTTTAGCAAGGGAGAGTAAGAACCCTTGCTTCATTACACTTGTCATCTTTTATCTTTATCTTTTAACTGATTTTAATTTCTTTGATTGCTGTGTGCTGCCCAGAGTTGTTAAGATTTGGGAGGTATACACGTTTGATAAGTTATTATTATTGAAACTCAGAAAATTAGATTCAGGTTTTCTGCACAGAAAAACAGCTTACAGAAGATGACCATGACCTATATTCAGTGTTCTTTTTGGGTTGTGGTTGTAAATACTTTTTCCCCAATTTCTGATTTACAGATTTAGAAGGGCTGACTAACAAACCACTATTCTGCAATGTTTATTTTGCAGAGCAAAGAGCATCATGTAAATAATCACCAAACCCAGGGTGGAATTCTCCCCGTTTGGGTGAACCCCTTGTTCTGACAATCAGCTGGCTCCGAACTGGTTCACTCTGACGAGCATGTGGCCCTGCCCACCTGCCCCTGCTATTTATGTCTTTTTATTAGAGCACAACTGATTCGCATGGCAGAGCAGTTTGCTGTACCTCAGCTGTTTTCTTCAGCTACAGTTGAAAGTTAGTATTAGCTTTTTTCAGTGTAGAGCAAAGCGCACGGTCACCGAACCAGTTGTTATACCGGTTGAATCGCACCCCTGACCAAACCTAACTGAACAAGTATAACCTGTGAAGAAAACTAACAATGATTATTTTACAATTAATTCTCAACATTGCATTAATGAAAGATAAAATTTTCTAGGCTAATAATATAATGAAGTGGCCTCAAACAAGAGAAAAGATTAGGTTGAAAGAAAAGCAAATCAAGTCTCAAAACCTTTGAAAATCCTTCCCACAGATCTATTACATCCCTAAAATATTTCAGAAGATCAGGACCTTGTTATCTATTGTTGCAGGGGAAATTTCAAAATGGTTGGTAAAGTTTTCAGAAGAATTTTCTCTTATAGACTTCATCATAATGTAATTTTTAGAGAAGATAGGAATGCATAAGTTCAGCAGACAATATCATAACTAAAACTGTTCAATATGCATCATTAGTTGTACATCATTTGCCTTTCTCTCTGGAAATATTTCAAATTCTGAACAAATTCTAGAAAACAAATTTGCTAACAGCAAATTTTTAATTATTATACATAGCTGTAGAACTCTGTTTCTCTACAATCTCTTTTCTGTATACTAAAACCCTATAATCTTCAATTCCAAAATGATACCTCATAGTGCATTTTTTAAATTAAGTACCTAAAATCTACTAAATTAAAGAATGTATACAAAATCCAAGACCGTTATTCTCATATGATTGAAATTTAAAGGATCTTCAAGTCAGTTGTATTAGCAAACATATGGCTGCTGCAGCATTGCTAGTCAAGTGATCATGTTTTTTGATACTCCCTGCCAGCTTTCCATAAGGGAGCTCCTACTCCCACTGCTTTTTTGTCCATTCTGTTTCTCTGTTTAGATAAGAAAATACTTTTGAAAAGATGCCCAACAGTCATGGGTTGTTCAGTTTCTGCTAAAATTCTACATTCTAATTGTTAGATTGACTTGGATATTATATCACTTAAAATCCATTACACATATAGTTGCTGGACGCCAAATTAAAGTGTTTCTTAACCAAATAAAAAATTTGGCTGCTAATTTGATTTTGTTTGCAATCAAGCAACGGTTCATCTACTAGACATTAATTAGCACCTGCTTTCTATACAAACTGATATTGTTTCTCTCTCCAGCTTTTACCTAACTGAACTTTCCAGGTAATTCTCAATTTACAATAATTTATTTAGTGACAAAGTTACAACAGTACTGAAAATAGTGACTTATGACTGTTTTCACACATCTGTTGAATCATTCTCATGGTGACATGATCAAAATTCAGAAGCTTAGCACCTGGGATGTATTTATGATGATTGCAGTGTCCCTGGTTCACATAATCACCTTTTGCGATCTTCTGACAAGAAAAGTCAATGGGAAAGACAGATTCACGTAACATGTTAGTACCTTAACAACTGCACTGATTCACTTAACAAGCCAGAAAGGTCATATTGGGGCAAAACTCATTTGGGGCAAAACTCATTTAACTGTGGTTTTAAGTCAAGGACTATTTGTGCAGTCTATGCCAACCACTCCATCCAAAGAAAACAAAATCACAATACCAAGCTATGTTGTTCAGGCAAAATAGAAGATAGAACTTCTTGTAGAAGCCACAAAAATCTAGTTTATTCAGAACAGAGGGCATAGGAGGAAATAGTAAACACTGTATTAGAATCTGCTATATATATAGGCTTCAAAATCTGTTGGGAAATATAAAGACACAATGACAGATTTCCCTATTTTAATTAAGCCAACTGATTCTTTCCTTTTCTGCCTATTGGCTTAGATACTTAATATTCAATACTATGGACAGATCTGAAATATGTGGATCTTTGTCTATGGAGATTCTCAGTCATCCAGGTCATGGTTACCTCAAAGGTGCTTTTTCAAGAGGCAACTGGACTTTGTTTTTCTTTGAAGATATTAAGGAGCTCATCCCAGCTCCTTTAGCTCTGACTAGATGGAGAGAGAATGGAAGGATTTATATTCCTTCTAGACAGCTGGTCATTTAGGAGCCTCGGTGGAACAGTGGTTAGAGTGAAATACTGCAAGCTACTCCTACTGCAATTTGGCAGATTGAGACGCACCAGGCTCAAGGTTGACTCAGCCTTCCATCCTTCCGAGGTGGGTAAAATGAGGACCCAGATTGTTGGGGGCAATAGGCTGATTCTGTAAACCACTCAGAGAGGGCTGTAAAAAGCACTGTGAAGCAATATATAAGTCTAAGCGCTATTGCTATTTGCATTCTTTTAGAGAGTTGTTGAGGCCATTTGGAGGTTAATCTGTGTCCTTGGGGTCACCTGAATAGTGCAAATGGGTATGGAGCCTCTTAGAACTATTGAAAGAACTATGTTGTAGACTGGAGATAAATGCCGTATTCCTCCCCCTCTGTTGAGGTCTGCTCAACTGCTCAAAACTGGCCCTATATCAAAACTGAACAGCTTTTGCTCAGTAGAGGGTGTTAGGGTCCAAATGGTCTTAACAACTCTCTGAAAGAATGCAAATTCTGTCTGCAAGGAATATAAATCCTTCCATTTCCTTTCTGTCCAGTCAGTTGAAGAAGCTTTTTAGATAAGAAGCAAGACATCTTCAAAGAAAAACAAAGTCAAGTTGCCTCTTGAAAAAGACCTTTGGGCATGTGGATCTTGGATTTTTATTAATGTATAACTAATTATACATTACAAAATTCTTCACTAGCCCAATTATATGCTATATTCACAGCATAAGAAACAAGGAGAAAAGGAAGCAACAGGACTCCTACTGCCTCAATTTAAAGTCAGAGAAGATCCGACCACTTCATGAGAAAGTTTGTTCCAATACTTGACATCTCTTTACAGCCAGGAATTTCTCCTGATATCTATTCTGAACTCCTTCTTTGAAAATGTAAGATATTAGTTGTGGTTCTGCCTTCTCGGGCAATAAGTTTGCTCTTTTTTTTTCCATGGCAAGTCTTCAAATATTAGAAGTCTTCAAATATTTGAAGACTGCTTTTCCATCTCCCCTAAGTCATCTTTTAAGGTAAATACACACAGATTCTCTAATATTTCTTCATAAAGCTTAGACTCCAGATTCTCACTACCTTGACAGACCTCTTCAAACTTGCTTTGTTTCAGTCTTTTTTGAATTGTACCGCCCCAAAATGGACACCAGATTCCAACCGAGGTCGCATTAGGGCAATGGCTGTTAATGTGTTACCCAACTGTCTTTTCAGCAGTTGCCCTCAGGTTGTCGCTCATGCCCAAATCGCTTTTGTAAAATGCTGCAAAACGAAACCTCCTTTCCGTTTTCTTACCCCCCCCCCCCCCAATACCACAACTACCAATTTTCTACAAAAGCATCTTCTCGGAGGTCTATCCGAAATTGACAAAAATTTCTCAGAACTCGCCTTTCTTTCCGAAACCCCCAAATTGATCCCTCCTGCACGGTTATTGCGATTACCACCGCCGCAACGGCAATCCCCTATTGAGCACTTGGTAAAGGGATCTTCCCATCTGATCAGAGAACCTTCGTGACTCCTACATTGCAGGCTAATTCTGCCAGTTGGAGTCTCACCGGCTCAAGGCTACCTCTGCCCCTCCACCCTTCCGAGGCCGGTAAAATGAGGTCCCAGTTTGGGGCAATTATGCTGACGCTTAGAGAGTGATGTAAAGCACTATGGGGTGGTACATAAGTCTTTCGTGTTATTGCTACCTCCCTAAAGATTCTGCCACGGAGGAGGAGAGCAAGCGCTTTTTGGCAGCCCGAAGCCCCATCACTCACCCTCGGTGTTGCCCTGAACTGCCTTCATCCCTCTGATGATGGTGGGGGGGTAAGGGGGTAAGCGACCCTGCTGCTTTCCCCCATGTAGAGACTCGAGTTGCCCCTGCCAGCCAGACAAGCCCTCTCCCTTGGTGAGAAAAGGGCGGGCCCAGCAAAAGCAGCCTCCTTCAGTCCCGACTACTGCAAAGCAACCGCCATCCCACCCATCCCCGCCGCGCGAGACCTCCCTGCTCCTCCTCTCCGGGCTCGAAACAGACAAATGTAGAGCAGGAAGTCGTGCGAGAATCCCGCGTGGCAGCCAGTGCAAAGGCAGGAAGGCTAGTAATTCTCGCGATATTTAAAATCGCCTCTATCTCCGTCTCCTTTTCCCCCGCCTGTGTTATCGAATTCCTCATTCTTTAAACATGCATAATGGCTGCTTTTTTATTTTCAGCTGTTTTCAAGTACAGTATGCTTTTCAATAAATGTCATTCTTTTCCCCTTACGTCTGATCCTGGCAGGATGTTCTTTCCAAGTTTCTTAATAAGCATGCATTGAGAGAAAAAGGCAAGGGGGGCGCCATTTCTAAATCAAATTGTTTTTATTCCCGAGGAAATTCATCACTTTTTGTGAAAAAACAAAAATGTCCGCAGTTGCCTTGTGATAAAGTTTAATATACTCCATAGCCGAAAATTAGAATGGTCTAGGATCGTATAAAAGCGTTACAACACAGCTAAACTATGTTTTTTCTCCCCACTGTTGAGAAGAAAAATGACTGCCAGAAAGCAAACGCCCTCTTCCTTTTCGGTCTTCTAGGTTTTTCAAAAATAAATGTTTGATTAATAGTGCATTTTAATCTTTAACCGTCCATGCTTTGGGGGAGGGAAACCCCAAACCCAGATCCCGCGAGATCATAGCAGCAATTCTCGTCTAAGAAACCCCGCAGCAGGTCAGAAACCAGAATAACCTCCGTCCCATCTCTGATCTCTGGGCGGGCGTCGCGAGACTTCGCAAAACTCGGCTTGTGCGGGAGCGCGTGCGCCTGCGTGAGAGCAAATACACGCGCACGCAGGCGCGTGTTCTCGCGGTATTTGGAGAAATAGGAGCTGGTAGAGAGGAGTTGGGGGAAAGGAGCCTCCGAGGTATACCAAAAGAAGCCACGGCGTCGGCGGCTCAGAGGACGACAACGTGGGCGATTATTTTTTCGTATTCTCGCGAGAATTGGTGGCTAACCTTCCCTCCTCACTATCCTGCCTTCCTCTTCCCTTCCCCTCCCCCCCAATCTGGAAACAGCGCCGTTTCGGTCTGGGAAGTAGGTAAAAAAAGATGGGAATTTTAACTTGGGGAACTCACTAGAGGTTCAGGTTGAGGAAGGGGGTGTCCCCTTAGTAGAGGCTCTTGGGTTGGTCACTGGCCTCCGGGATTTGCTCGGTGAGCGAGGCCCCGGGGCGGGCTGGAAGAGTATATAGTCAGCCTCTCAGGAAGTTAAGGAAATAGCAAATAAATTCAGTCCCTACTTTCATTTTGTAGGGACGTTGGGACCTTTAGTTAGTGGCAAGGCAACCTCGACCCAAGGCAGTCCGCTGTTTAAGTACTTTGAGAGACTAGTCTTGGGTGGGGGGCTTTTTCAAAAACCTTGAAGTGACTGGTCTCCAGAACTTACTTACTTTTTTGGCGTTTGTAAAGTTCAGCTTCTTACCTATTTACAAACTGGGTTTTCCCTTTAACCAATCCTTTTGAACAATTAATACCCTAAAAGTGGGAGTTAATTTAGACTTGGAGTAAAGGAAGAGCATGTTCTTGCTCAGGGTTTAAAACATCGTCTCTTCCTTTCCTATATGTGAAGTGTGAGACCAGAGGATATTTTGATATTTTGGAGAATATTTCCTCCAGGTGAAAGGCAGCTCAACTCAGTTTCAGATCTATTTCCTTAATTAGCTTCTTTCAACATTCTGCATGTAATTGCAGAATCAGGTATTCTTAGAGTAACCACATTTATCCTGATAAAGAGACCAAGGGTGGGTTGAATGTAGGACATAGGTAACAAAAGAAAAAGTAGCCCTTCCATTGTAGGGGGAGGGGCTTAAAGAGTAGAATTTGGGGTTTTTGGAGGATTCCTCCCTCTTTTCAAGCACAGTGGAGAAGGAATGCCAAACCCGGAGAGACATGGCAAGAAGGATACGGGAGGTGGGGGGTCTTTGCATCAAGATGCAGTGTCCGGTAGCGGGAGCTCAAACAGCCGAGAAAGGCATCGACTCTCCAAGCATAAAAGACACAGATCCAGGCATTCCAAAGATTCGCCGTTGGGGTCCCAAGAAGGAGGAGCACCTCTTGGCAGCATGATCAAGCCATTGGTGGAATATGACGATATCAGCTCTGATTCTGACACTTTCTCAGATGAAGCAGTCCTCAAGTTGGAACGCAGAGAAAATGATGAGAGAAAAGGAGCATCAGACAAGACTGATAGACTACATAGACATCGCCATCATCAACACAGGCGTGTCCGTGAATTGATGAAAAGTAAGCTGGGAGACGAGAAGAAAATGGACAGAAACCAAGAGTCCTCAGGCAAGTTGAGTTCTAGTAAAGACAGACTATCTGGTACTTCCAAAAGACTACAGGAGGAGAATGATGACCACTCATCTAAATCATTCAAGAGTAGTAGCAAAGAGTCCCGTGCAGCCAAACTGCATAAGGAGAAGTCTAGAAAAGAACGGGAGGCAAAATCTGGCCACAAAGATCACAGTAAAAGTCATCGGAAAAGAGATGCCCCTAAAAGTTACAAGTCATTGGACAGTCCAAAGCGGAAATCCAGAAGCCCACACCGTAAATGGTCAGATAGTCCAAAACAAGATGACAGTCCCTCAGGTGCATCCTATTCACAGGACTATGACAACAGCCCTCCACGCTCACATACATCCAGTAACTATGATTCATATAAGAAGAGTCCTAGTGTATCCTCACGACGACCATCAGTCAGCCCTCCATATAAGGAACCTGCTGCCTACCAATCCAGTATGCGTTCTCCCAGTCCTTACGGCAAGAGACAGCGGTCGGTCAGTCCATACAACAGGAGGCGCTCATCCAGTTATGAAAGAGGAAGTGGATCATACAGTGGAAGATCTCCCAGTCCATTCAATCGAAGGCGCTCCAGCAGTCCTTTTGTTTCCAAGCGGTCTCTGAGTCGTAGTCCTGTTTCCAGGTACTGGTCTTCATACTTATATCAGAATTGTTGAGCCTCCTAAGTAAAATGTAACTAAAGGGAATAAAGTCCAAGAATTGTTATTGTCTCTTAGAACAAAATTTTTTATATTCATCTGATTCAGTAGGGTAATCTTTCTCACCATGATGCGGCCCTATGTGTTGAATTATATTATTTTAAGATAGCAAGCTTATGCTTGTGAGAATGGAGTTGGAGCCTAACACATGTGGCTTAAAGCAGGATGATTTAAGGTACAAACTTGTTTTTCATTCTTCCAAATTATTATACCCTAAGTAATAGTTTCTATCTTATTGGAGAATGAAGTTGAAAAAAAGCCAGGACAGCCAGTATAATACTGAACTGATGGGGAATCAGGCTAAACCATGTTATGAAATAGAATCATATAATATGAAAACTTATTGCCAGTGAGCAGTGGTCTTGCACATTTTTCAACAGATCTTTGGTTTAATTTGTCATGTCATCAAAACTTGGCAAACTAGAATCAATGATCAAATCATGATTGGCATGAACTACAGCATTAAGGATGAATGACATTACGTTATAGTTAGTGCAGATGGATAGCTTCTGTGCCAGGTGTGTAAGCAAGAAACAGCTGCTAAGATTTACTGTTAATTGCTTTCATTGTGCTATAGTCAGATGTATAAATGTAATCAGAAATTTCTGAAAACTAAAACTGCAACTTAATCCATTCTCATGATATATATTATGGTTTTTCAGTTTTTATGAAATTAAAAAACTGGAAGTGATGACAGAATGGGCCTAGTAAATATGTAAACCAGTGTTGCAAGGAACTTTCTTCTTTAGCAAATTGTACTCAATTCAAAGAAAATGAACTATACTTAATATACCATTTCAATATAGAGTTTGAATTATCAGGTTTTATCAGGCTTCATGACTTTCCATATAGTGTGATAGTTATATCACAATTATTTTACTGGACCTTTCTTAAGTAGGGATAGATATTTTGTTCATACATATTTAGAAAAACAACAGTTATGTGCTCAAAAATCATCTTTGATTTCATCTTCCGATATTTATGAACACTATATAGGAATAGATAGGAATTTTAGCTATATATAGTATAGCTAAAATATTTATATTATTCCTTTGAACTGTAATATTAACAACTAATTATTGAAACCTAAAAGCAGAAAGGAACTTAGAAAATAGTCCTCTTTCCTATCAACATTTATCATTGATTCTAAGCTTTATACTGATCATTTACTTTAAATAAGGCCAGGAGGTCCTTTGCACAATTGGGTTGTGCACCAGTTATGTCCTTTCCTGGACCAACGGTTCCTACTCAAAGTCACTTATGCCCTGGTCACTTCCTGTCTTGATTATTGCAACGCGCAATGCGCTCTACATGGGGCTGCCCTTGAAGAGCATCCGGAAGCTCCAGTTGGTGCAAACTGCAGGGGCCTGCATGGTTTTGTCCAGACCCCAATGTGCACTTGTTTCACCTCTCCTGTGGGAGCTGCATTGCTTGCTGATTTGCTTCTGGGTGTATTCAAGGTGCTGGTTGTCACCTTTAAAGCCCTTCATGGCTTGGGACCAGATTATCTGAGGGAACATCTGTGGCCGGTCAAATCTACCCGACCCATTAGAATGGGGAGTCAGGGAATGCTGCGGGCCCCATCCCTGAGGGAGATATATCTGGTGGGACCCAAAAGAAGGGCCTTCTCGGTGGTGGCTCTCTTTCTCTGGAACATCATTCCCCCAAAGATTAGAATGGCCCCCTCTTCCAGAAGGCACTGAAGTCCTGGTTCTGCCAGCGGGTCTGAGAAACCCAGAACGGGATGGAGCCCATTAAATGGCTTGCTGTCGTCAGGGCGGAGAGTGGGAGTTGGGTGATTTTTTTATTTTTTCCAGATTTTGTTCTATTGTACTTTATTAACTTATTTGATTCCTTTTGTTAGTTTTTATTATTTTTTTATTTTAAATATGGTTTTACATTCTGTAAGCTGCCTCGAGTCACCATAAATAAATAAATGTCTGGAGCTGGTAATACTGGTTATCACTGGGCATTACATAGTTAACATTTCCATGGATAAGATTCTATAATTTTTTGTTAACACTTTTTAATGCAGAACCTTGGCGTTCAAGTAGGAGTATTTTCAGTGAAGCAGCTACCATTCTAGCAGACCTAAACAATAATCTTATCACATCATTTTGAAGATTCACAGAACTCTCCTCTTCTTTTTGTGAATTCTGGATGTGTTCTGTCCCAGCTGAAGTTTACCAAAGCAAACACAGATAAACTCCAAAACTGAAACGTTCACAGCTTTATTCCACAAATAACCCTCTTTGTAGATAACAGATGGCTTGCAGCCAATTAGTCCAATAAATCAGAGTCTGTAATCATCTCACTAACTCCTTCGAACTTTTGCCTTTTGCAAAGGCAAAAGCAGTTTGAAACCATACTTCTTTTCCCTAGAGGGAGGGGCCATTAATTAGCATTCTTACTCCCGAGTTGCCTGTGCTGTTCTTCCATGAATCATCATGCTCTCATTCACACCCAGCACAGGCTTCTCGGGAACGTCCACCTGATTGCTGCTGGCGAACCACAACAGGATGGTCTTCATGAATTGTGTGTCTCACAGCTCCATTCTGCTCTCTATAATGAGATAGTTAATGAACATGAGAGAAAGTATATAATCATTAACATAAGGCACTTTATATGACTGAAATGTTGTGAAGCAAATATTACTAGGCAAGCTTCTCACCAAGTGTGAAAGAAAAACTGATGAACCCTATATTTGGTGGCTGCATTTTGAATCCAATATTTTTTGTTCCTATTGTTAAGATGGTTAGTACTTCAACTCTTAGCAATTACTTTTAAATAATGGACAAATGGAGCTGGTGTTTCTGTTGATTATGAGCCAAATATCAGCAAAGCATCTCCATGTCTATTGAGAAAGGATTGGTTAATATATGTAAACATTTTGTCATCTAACAACTCACGTTCATAAGTTTAGAAAACTTATGAAAGTGACCTGGTTGAGTCTTTATGATATGTGGAGTAAATGGGTTTGAGCTGAACAAACAGTAAGTATTGTATATTTAAATATGTAAAACTGCAAGGAAACATCTATCTCATTCCTGTTCATTTTTTATATTCTCTTTTATTTATAAACTTTATAAAGCTTTGGCATTCTAGTTTGCCAACTCTTTTTCCCATTCACCTACATATGTTGGGTTCTGAAATTCTTAAACTATTTTTAACTCACTTTCTGCACTACAGTCTTTTATAAAAAAGATGCCCTTCCACTAAACAGATGCCCTTCCTCTAAACTTCATATTAACTGAGAATGGCTTCTTTAATGTTTGGTACAATACACTATAGAATGAGGTGTCTGTAGCAAGTTCAAGAGCGAATTCTCAAGTTGGATTGGCAGACTGCTAACTTGGAGAATGGGATATGGGTCACTAGAGCTCAAATATCCTGTAAAGGATTTTGTTGCAGATTTATTTTGATGACCTCAATTTTGGGGAATATTGTAGGATATTGTGAGATTAGGCATAAGCAGAGAACACAACAAGCCAGGAATCTTATCTAAAAGATCCCTTTAGAGAGGTAGTTAAGAAAGAACCAAGTTCAAAGGAAAAAAATTAACTATTAACTGAAAAAGTTAGGCCAGACAAGGAAACTGAGCCTGAATACATGGAGCATACTGCCATCTGATCTACAGCTACCATACTTGTGAATCAACAAAGCAAGGACTTTGGGGGGCTAAAAGGGGTCCTAAAATCCATTCACTTTTTGGTGCCAGACTTGGTGGCTTCTGCCCCTCTAGCTCTAGTTAGTGCCTGTCAGCCTAGTTGAGGAAAGCTTGGGTAATTGTGTATGTGTGTGTATGAGAGCAAATGTTTATGTAACTCATAAAGTTCTCTTGTTTTAAATTCACAGAGTCTCTGTATTTCAAAAAACCCTTGTGCCTCAGTATTTGGATAAAAGTGATGTGTGTGTGTGTGTGTCCCTAATTATTTTCAAGCTATTGATCAGGGATGTGTATGTTGTCTGCTTTAATTGTATCTATCTGAAAAACTCAGAAAGAAAGTAAGGGGGACCTACAAGTTGTATGCTGTGAATGGGTGACCATAAGCTAAATCTGGGAGTGCTCTCTTGGAGTGTATGAAAAGCCAGAGAATGCTGTATGTTGCCTTACCTGGAAGTGTGCCCTGAAGAATATTTAATATTTATTTGTGATTGGTTCACATATCACTTAACTTTGTGGTTTGGATTATAATTAATTGTACTGGGTAAACCCAGTATTGTGGTAAAATTAGGCCATCATAGCTTTTAAAACAAACACTACAGCTTGATGTGTGAACTCAGCCAGTGAGTGCATTCCATGGGAGTAACCATTTTTTAGCCAAAAAAACCTCTTATTATTTAACTCCTGTTGGATAATTTGTGTTCTCTAGGAATGACAAAACAATCGCAAGGAGAGAATCCCGCTTTTGGTTAGTTACATTTAAGAAATTAACTTGAATGTTATTCAAGAAAGAATATTCATTCCCTTTTGGTGTTAATAGAGATCTGCCTTTATATTTCCAGAATAACATCAGTAAATATTGCTTTACTATCCCCAAGAGTACAACTATCTCTTTTCCTATTGGAAGTCATAAAAACTTTGCTTAAAGTAGCAAATAAGGACTAATTGATAGCTTATTTTTCAGCTTAATTTAAATCAAAGGTACTCGTCATAAACAACTGCTTGTACAATCTTGCATATATAATGATCCAGGCAACTGGATTTCTAAAAATTAGTTTTCAAGTCTTGGATAGCTATATTATGTTAAAATGAACATATTAAAGATTTTAAAATAGCTAAAATGTTTGAATATAAACAATATATAAATATGGACCAAATTCCACACTTTGTAGCACTGATGATGTTACCTAGTTGGGTAATGAAAAGTCTGCAAGCAAATAACCAAGCTCAGATAGTACCAGGAACTCCAAAGTTCATCCCTAACTACATGTTTCCTTTCTGGTAACGTTTAAACAATCTTAAAATAAAGGGGTAGCTTTTAATATATTTCACTGGTTTTTTTTTAAAAAAGTAAGGAGGCAGGTAACATTTACATTTCAAACTTACTGTATTTTCTAAATTTTAGATTAGTAACCTACACTGCAAAGAACCTTCAGGATTACATACATCTTAGCTTCCTATAATTAACTGCAGAAATTGCTTTCAATCTTAGTATTTTGTTGGAGTGTTTTGGATTAGGAATGATTTAGATAAGATTACTAATCTGTTGTGATCTGATTCTTAGAACAGTTTTGTCCAGTAACATTAGAATTGAAATACCTCAATGTTAGGGAAGGATTAGGAAAAACTAAGAACCAGCATATGGATTTTTGACACTTACTGAGTTTTGGTCTTAGCAGTTCTTTTAATTTAAAAATTTTTAATTATAACTTTTCAGAAGCTGTAGATAGGGGGCAATGACCTAGGTTGGACTAAAAAAAAGCTATTAGCTCACAGTCACACAACAACCTTCTATGGCTGTACTGTAGTGGAAAACACATAGCCTATGTTGAATAACAATTGAAAATTTACTTCCTTTCTGATCTGGCCAGTGAACTCTCAGTCCTCTTGGTAGGAAAGAAAAGGTAACTTCAGTGAGGCTATTTTCTGATTACATAAATGTTTAAGGGCATCTTGGGAGAGTAACCACCAATATGAGAAAGTGAAATTTGAAAGCAATGCTGACCCAAGCAAAGGCAGCTCAGCTTCCCTCCCTCCCATCTGTCAGTTAGAACACTTTAAAGAAAAACATAGTAAATATTAAAAATGTCTGTCTTGTTTTGTGCAGGGAGTGTATATCTGTTTTTCCACATGCAAATGGTGGTATATCATGGTTTCTAGATTCCAAGCAAAAGTTCTAAATATATGCAGGTTAAAATGTTTGGCCCCTTTTATTTTAACATGTGGTACTATAAAGATTGTTGTATTATGTTATATGTTGAGTGGAAGCTGCAATTTCAGCCTATGCACATAAAGCGAGTCCAAGAAAAAAACAGAAACCTGTAGCAAGTTCAGGAATTACTGGAGCTTTAAGGATCATGGTCGGTATCTATAAATAGTGTAGGTTCTGAAATAGCTAAAGCATGGCCTATTTTAACCATGGTCTGATGAATAAATCAGCTGGGTTCATGTAGCATTTAAACATGGTTTACAAACTGCAGTGACACTGTTCACATATCTTGTAATCTCAAAAGAAACATTGTGTAATAGAAATACAGAACATAAATTATTGAGCTAACTTCTTGAGAGCTAGAGGTTGACTTTTATATAAAAGTATGGCAGTTGAGATGCTTTTGGATTCTGATTTATTCTATTTTGTTTTCACAGGAAGCCCAAGAAATCCCGAAGCAGAAGTCCCACTTATTCAAGGCATTCTTCATCTCATAACAAAAAGCAGAGAACTGGGTCTCGCAGTCGCCATTCCAGTATCTCACCTGCTCGGCTACCACTGACTTCCAGTTTAGGAGCTGAGCTGAGTAGGAAGAAAAAGGAGAGGGCTGCAGCCGCAGCCGCTGCAGCAAAAGTTGACGGAAGGGAGATCAAGGACTCGTCTAGCTTGGTGTCTAGAAAAGAAAATAATTTAGCTGAAGTAAAAGAGTCTGTAATCGATGTCAGGAAGGCAAAAATGGCTAAGCCTGAAAAATGTCCTCATGATCTGGTGACAGTAAATACTCTACAGCACAGTGCAGAGATGAAAACAACTCCCGAGCCTGTCAAAACAAAGACAGAAAATTCTGAAAAGAAACGTCCTCCTTTGGTTAAAGACTCAAAAACTGAGGGAACAAAAGATATGAAACTTGTTATAGCAAAGGAGGAAATTGTGACTCCAAAAGAAATAGAGACATCTGAGCAAGAGGTCCAACCTCCTTTGCCTTCTGTAAAGTCACTCCCTCCTTTACCGTCATCATCCCCACCTCCTCAGATTCCTCCACCATTGCCTCCTTTGCCTCCATTGCCAGTTGTTCCCCCTCTGCCATCTGCCCAGTCATCTACTATTCAAAGCCCTGCTTTAGTTCCTCTGCCATTTTCTGCCCTTTCTAAAACATCCTTGACTTCTCAGGCTAACTCCCAGTCCACCATGCAATCTTTCTCAAAGGGACATGGTTCTGTGACCATAGCTGTTCCTCATTTGAAAACATCAACGTTGCCTCCACTCCCTTTGCCACCAATTTTGCCTGGGGAAGATGAGTTGGAAAGGTAAGGTTTGCAGACACTGCTATTCTACAGAGGCCTGTTAGCGTAATATGTTATTTCACTCAGTTCTGATGAAGATTGGTATCTGAAAACTGTTGCGCTGGTGCAGTAAATTCTGCAGTCAATAGAATTTGCAGTAATAGTAACCTGCTTGTTGCCTTTGCAACCTCGAATTTCTAGTAATGTCGACAGGAATGGGAATTTCTTGCAGGATATGAAAGATGTACCTTCTTAATAGAAAATAACTTGGATGGGGCTTTATCTGAAATCCAAGCAATGTATTGCTGCTGGTCAGAATAATTTTAGACTTCAATGACTTGCTTGATAATGCTACTGTTTTCAGTATTTATTCTTGCCTTGCAGTACTTTTTATGAACATAACTCTGAATTCATGACTAGAAAATTTTTAAATAGGCGAGCAATGTGCTTTTTGATCCATTGTTCCCTCTAAATAGTCAATGTGTATTGATTTATTTTGTTACCAGTATTTGATTGCTATATTTGTAGATAGGAATGGTGATCTTAAATCAGATATTTATTTTTTGGGGTAGTGGGGGTGGTAAAGTATAACTTGGCCATCTTGGTTGCTGTCTTCATTTACCTTCTTGCTGGACATGTTACCCTGTTTTCATGTGTCTTGCATACAGAAGATGATGGGAGGATTTCAAGACCAAGATTTACTATGGCGGTGACCTAATTTTTCTCAGCTACATTATAGTTTCACACTATTTCCACTTTCTTTCTTTTAATTTGAACCTTTTCTCCAGAGTCAAATATTCATCATGCTGTAGGGAATTTATAACTAATAAATATAATAGTGATAGCACAATATTTAGATTTCTGGGGATGCAGAGCTGGATTTTTATGTTTCTTTGTGATCTTGAATGGTGCAGCATGACTAGGTTCTGTCTGATGAACCTAAGGTAATTCTAGACAGAACTATATATCTTGTCTGAGTATTATTAATATTTTAGAAATAGTGCTTAAAATAATTTTATTTTTTGCTTCAAAAGTTCTTTGGAGGGAAGACACTGTAGAAAAATAGCAAGCATAGTGAACTGTTACATGAAAAGAGACATTGTCAATTTCTACTTGGGTTTAATGCCTACTGTTTTTGTAAGTAATGTGTTGGAATATGACACAGAACCCAGGCAACTAAATTTCCATCTAAAAGCAATTCTATCCACCAATTTACAGATACCATCTTGAGAATTATGTAGCAGAAGTTTGGAAAACAAATAACTCTCTTCCAGCTAGGTTACTTTGGAAACTATCAGTTGTTTTTAAGACTCTAGCTGGTTTGATTTCCAGGAATTTGTTTTCCTAATTTCAAATCTAGCAAACAGTTTTAATCCTCACATGTGTTTGTATTCTATGTTTGGCAGGGGCTGTAGACTTCGAAAGTGTACAAAGGAAAGTTATTATGAGAGTTTTGTTACATCTTTGCTGGTAGAGTTGGACATTATTGATACTATACTGCTAATTTTCCACATGTCAGTCAGCATATAGCACTATCTCTATAACTAACAATTATGGAGGCAGTACTTCATAATACCCAGGAATTGTAAAAGAATGGATGAAAAATACTAATCTATAGAGAGAATGCTATTTTAAAGTGTTCATTTACAAAACTGTAGTTAGTATAAATCTTACATGTAGACAGTTTTCTATGTATTTGTAGTAATCTAAGGGTGTTTTGCCATAGCAAGTCGTGGGGATATTTCCAATCCTCACTCCAACATTAATAAAGTTAATTAATTTTTACTAGTTAAAAGGGTCAGATAGCTGCTTTAAGGAAAACAAAACCATAGTCAGCCTTGGCCTGGAGTTCATAGATCCTTTCAAGCAATGATGTTTGAGTAGAATGGTGGGCATGGAGGAAGAAGGTACTTAAAATGTGTGTGGCTAAGAAAAAAATAACAATTTTGATTTCAATATAGTTAAATTAGTTATTGTGTTCTTTTATTTTTACTTCCATTGAATTAAAAGTGATACATTTTCTAAACCCCAGAATTTTGAAATTTCAGCTGTATATCAGATATTGAGCTTCAGTGCTAAAATGGTGCAACATCGGTTACATTGATTCCCTCTAGATACTTCTATTAGTAACTCTATAATTGTAGCAGCTGACTTATATTCATGCGTGTTAAACCTTGGAGATGTGGAACAGTGATCAGCTTCTGAATAGTTCATAACACTTTTCTTTTCTCTGGTGCTTTAGTCCAAAGGAAATCGTTCCTCTGAAGTCTGTGAAGAAAGAGAAAGAACAGAGACCACGACACTTGCTTACAGACCTCCCACTTCCTCCAGAGCTTCTTGGTGGAGACCCTTCACCGCCGGAGTCTCCAGAACCAAAGCCAGCCACACCACCTCAGCAGTCATTAAGAAAGAGACCAAAGTAAGAACTAAATGTACTTTATTTGATGGCATTTGTTCAAAATACTTGTAAAGTATTTCTTTAGGTTAACATTGAGGATTGGCAAAAATGAATAAATTGGGTGGTTTATAGACCTAGCCAAATCACCTTTCATGTTGTGCCATGACATATAGCAAAGTTAATATAATATTCTCATAAACTCTAGATTTAGTTTTGATTAGTACTGGTAAATATAACACTTGTATTTCCAATTGAAATACAATTCATTTTGAAAAGGATAGAAATGGAAAATTAGGGAATCTTAAAATGCAGATTCAGTTCATAGTGCATGGAAGATAAAATTTGATCTTCAGCTTGTTATCCATGGGTGCCAGTGTATCCGACAACATCTCCCTTAGAATCTGTCCGACTTCATGCCTATCTAGTTTTTATTTTATAGTCTAAAATAAAAGTTAAGCATATTGCAAAGCATCACTTTCAAATATGATTTGTATTTCTATTAATGCATTGGGTTTCACATAAATCTTAGAAATATTCTTGAAAATAAAATGGCATATGGATTTAGCTAGAGCTTTGTTTCTAAATATCTCACCAGAAAAAAAAAGAAAAAGATAAAATAACTGTTCTGTTTGGATGGAAAACGGCTTATTTTTAGCATTATGGAAACATCTTTAACTCTTTTGATGAATTCTGTCATCATTATAAAGGAATAGTATGCTCTGTATAATTTTATACAAAAATTGCAATTGGATCTTGTTTCCCTGAGTTAAAGCCTTAATGTAGTGTGAAAATCCAGCCTAAGAAAAATGTCAACATTCAGGGTAGGGGATTTGCTTTACACACAGTTAACCATCCTATAGAAATGTTGAGCTAAGACATCTAAACCCCAGCCATTTTGTGGTAATACCCGTGGGTGCACAGATCCGTAAAGCCTACACACTTGAAATTTGGCATGTATGTTCCTCTTGGCTTCTAGCTGCTCATGAAGAAAGGATTTTTCGAAATGACCATCAGAGCATTACTGCTTCGTATATTATTAATAACATGCTGTGATGCTAAAGGGTTCTATTCCCCCTCCCCATCTGAAGAGAAATCTGTTCCAAGTGCAAAACACAAGCAGAGGAGAGGAGTTTCAATTTCAGTTTTAGTTTCAAGCACCAAGCAGCTTTAGTACAGAACAGTTGAGCTAAGCCATGCCCAGGCTCCTTGCTGTCTCCTTGTTCAGACAGCAAATACTGCTTCAGTTTCCAAACAGCCGTCAACTCTCACACACAATGACAGGATACTAGCCAGATAAATACCAATGGATGCTGGTAGGCAGAGGCAGAATTCTCCCTCCTATTTTCCTCCCCAGAAGCTAAGTCTGACCATGAAGCATAGACATCAAGCTAATATATAGATAAAATTTTTAAAGAATTTTGATTATGATAAAATCTAATATAAACTAAACTTAAAGTAAGATAATAGAATAGAAAAAAGTAAAAGCTGTTAGAAAAAAGATAAATAGAAAAGTAAGAATATAATAAAGAAAAAATATAAAGAAATGACCTCCAAACTTCCAAACAAATGTAAACAAATTTAGTGACTTTTACCTATAAGGTGACAAGCATTTATGCTTTAATTCCATATACCATCTCTTAACTGTAAACAAATCCATAAATACCATATTTTCTACTAGGAGAAAGTCCATAAATGGTTGCCAGAAGTAACAACATACCTTGTTTAACCTTGATCAAATAAAGCAACTTTATATTCCTTCCTTTTACTTCTAACAGTCTTATTCTTTAATTCATCATGTTGTAGGATTTGATTTCATTTCTTTTTCTGTCCCATCACCCAGGGTTTTCCAAGTCTCTAACAAGTCTCTTTTGTAAATCCAGTAGAAAAAATATATACTCAGACCACTTTCTTGTTTTGTCATTTGTATTTTTGTATGTTAAAACACCAGCCAGTTTCTAATGTAGGTCCAGTGAAACTTCCTTTTCTGGGTCATTCTCTTGACCTGTTAGTTGTAAATCCATTTTTGATTCCATCTCTATTTTGCTGGATAAAATTTGTTCTTTTCTGCATCTATCATTTATTCAATAATAATTTTTGGACATAGTCTATCCACACTATTTTCAGATTCCATTCTTCAAAAGTCTTCTTCATTATTTTTATGATAACGTTTTACATCATTTTATGGACTTGTAATTCTTTTCTTTAGCTAAAAATTTTAGCCATATATTAAAAGTGTTTCAGTTATTAGACATCTTCAGATGCTTCAGTGATATTATAATTGCTTATGTTTCTCTTCCTCCAGAGCTGCTAGCTGATGAAATGATTACTATTTTTCATTAATAAACACTGAATTTTTTTTAAAAAAACTAACCAAAAATATATCATATTGTGATACAGTGATAATTAAAGGAATTACATATATTGCAGTAATTAAAAAATAGAGAGGAAAAAAGAAAAAATGTAGGAAAATAGAAAAAAAACCTATATGGTAATATAAAATAAATTCAATTCTTAAATTTATCATTAAATCCATAGGAAACTAGCTTGTCATTGTTAAAGTATAAGTACATTTCAAAAATTGACAAAACCCCCATATTTCACTTCACTCCTTAACATCAGGAATATAAATGTGTCTTTCCATCTACATGAAATAATTCCATATATGTATGTGATAATAATACAGATGTCTATATAATTATCCATAATAGTCTTGTACTTAATTAAGCCAGAATTCTTCATAAAATATCAAATTCCATAATTTAGACTTATCTTAGGACTATGAAACATAAAATGTCTTCAATTTTTTTACAACATAGGGTGAGAAATCTGAAATTGATGACCGCTTGACAGTGCCGTTACTCAGATATTATATTGAACTGTGATGTTATGTTTTTTATTTTGATTTAGGAAAGTAAGTGAATCATTGTGGTTTGTAAACAATGGTTACTATTTAATCATGAATTAATCTTGCCAATTGTTGTTTATTTAATAAATCTGTTAAATAAGCCATTATTCCAGTCTGAATCTGGACTATACAGTTTAATACTTAATTTCATTTAGTACTGTTATCTGCCTACCTGGAAAATTAAGTTTGATCTTTGAGTTCCTGAGAAAAAGAGTGGCTCATATTTATAATAAATAAGTTAGGTATTACAGCATTTCTGATATACACTTTATATGACATACACACACACAGATCTGAGTAGGATGATCATAAAACATTTATGAAACAGTTTTGTCTTAGAATTACACATTTTAACAATTCTTCTGTTTCTCCCCCCCCCCCCCCCCCCCCCCTCCCCCGTACCCTCCTCCGTTCTGCGGCCGCCTCGCTGACTGGGCTAATGCTTAACC